AATAGGTAGGTGGCGCGTTAAAAACAATAGATTTGTAATATAATGGGCTAACTGAGCCCTCAGTACCTTTAAAAAATTTAATTTCTTATCTATTGTGTGAGTGAATGTACCGGATAGTAGGGCCGGCACGAGCTATTGCTTGGTAAAAAGTGTTCAATTGTCTCCTTGATACCAAACGGTTAATGGCACCATTTTTTTTTTTCTTCAAAATTTGACTATGGACGAGATGCGTTTTAAGTTTTTTTTTTAATTATTTATGTTCTGCCTTATTTGTTTCACGTTTGTGTCCACTACACGTAATCAATTGCGATTGGAGAACCTTAAAGGCGTAGGTAGGTAACAGTATATATGTACTGGGGGGAAGGGGCTGTTAGTAATATGGGCTACCAGATCTATTGTACGCAATATACCCTGGCAGATCGACCTCATATTGCTAGCAATCTCGAACTCCATTGCTAACAATCCCTTTCCCTCAATTAAGTATATATTGCATAAGAAGAAAGGAGGCAACCGTATGATTTACAGTTTTTATTTTATCATTCCTTCTATGTAATTCTTTGTTTTTAGATTAACAATATGTATAGATTAAAATATAGATTAAATAAATAAGTTGTATGGTTACAGTGTTGCCACTTGTCATATCCAATTGACCATAAAAGAGACGTGCCATAATTGTCATAAGGCGCATGCGCATTGCGTGCCGTATTATAATAATTCGGCGAAAGTTACGCATCTGCTACACTTTCACTTTATTGCCGCAAAAAGGACAAAGCTATCTACCATTCGCAATAAATATTACAGAAGGTTAATTATATTTTCTGCTATTCCTGTCCACGGTCGACTGGCAGATAACGCCATAAGGTGTTAAGTTCGCCATTTACACTATCTAGGTGTTTAATAAATGAATAAATAAGTTTCTTGATTAAATATTCCTGTTTGCAATGTATATCCTATCCTTAATCGCAATGTAAATTATTAATAAATAAATAAAAAATAAAATTTGTTACTAATAGCATTAAGAGAGTGATTCTGTGAAAATTTCAATACAACTTGTTTTCCTTTAATCTTACTAATACAATAAAATTGTAACTACACGATGTTTGAATATAAAAGATATTTTATTTTATTTAAAAATAAGGGAGTGCGAGGGATGAATAGCAGCGTCCCTCCTAAAACTTCTCCAAAGCCTACTACAGTTGTCAACTCGCCTGCCAAGCGTGGCAACTACTGTCACCCCCCCTCCTCTTCCAAGGTAGAAGCTTATGTTCAGCATTTGACAGCTAAGAGCTGATATGATTATGATGAATAAAAATAATTCGAGAGGTCTTATAGGACCTATCAATAAGAATGAATGAATGAGTATACCAATATGTACTAAATAATATTTCGTAAAAATTTTGTTTCTGTCTGTTCGTTTGCTCCGACATCACGCAAAAACTACTGCGCTAAATACTGTTTTCATATTTGTCTCCCTGAAGGTCTAACTTAAAATCTGCTGTATATTTTATTTCAATACGTTATCTAGAAGTGATTATTTCATTGCTTTTCCGTACTTCTACATACTAGAATTTAATGAAGTCATTGTGACAAAAACAGTAAGTTCATTAATTTCCCGTATTTTTTTTTATTTAGATAACTAATGACCAAAATAAAATAAGGTACAAGAGGCGGACTTAATGCTAGTAGCATTATATAGATATATATACGTTTTAAACATGAGGTTTAAAAATAACACGCGCGCGTAATAATGTAAACCGGGCCTTATGCCTACACATTACGCACCCTATATACAATCGGTCCCCTATCTCCAATCTCGATGTAAGATGACTCCGTCGATTGGAAGCTGCGCTGTACCGCGCCACGCCCCTCGCGAGATCAACCAATCGCACGCGGCCATCTCGAATAACAACCGGTTGTCATATTGATGTTGATTTAATACTGATTTATTGGCTTTGCAGTCGTCTCTCAGTGACGAATAGTACTGAAATAATTATTCTAAGAACCAGCAATATATATATATATATATATATATATATATATATATATATATATATATATATATATATATATATATATATATATATATATATATATATATATATGTATAATAATGGATGATAATGGAATGGTAACCCCGCCTGCTCTAACGGTATACGCTGGCGGGGCACGAGTGAGACATGATAGGTGAAGATGAAGAGGTAGGTCAGTTAACCCATCGTGATGAATATATCTGCACGATAGTTTTCAGGGAGGACCACGTGGAGGTCGACCTGACAGGATATACTGCTAGCAATGGGACAGCTAGTCCGCATTACTAACAATCCCCCCTCCCCCACAATTTGATAGTACATCAAAGTAATTATTCTAAAAATCAGCAAAATATATTAATTTTTTAGTAGAATTAATTCAAAACTGCTTTATTGAATATTCTACAGAATATTCAATAAAGCAGTTTTGTTAAAGCAATATTGAATATCCCATATAATAGTCCACAGTTTTTAACCAATTTAAAAAAAGAAGGAGCTACGCAATTCGATTTTTTTATGTTCATTACCTTACTAACTCGTCCAGTTAAAAACCGGTTGCAAATCATTTTTTTATCTAAGAGGTTATACTAACAAATTGGTCCTATGGAAATTTTGCCAAAATCAATTCGGTAGGTAGTTTAGTTTCAAAATCAGAATAACTAATTTTGCCAACTCCCCTGCCAAAAGTGGTAACTAGTGACAAAACCCCCCTTTTATGAAGGAGGCCTAGATTCAGCAGCGGACAGTTAACGGCTGATATAATAATGTTTTTGTGGTTTTACTAAATGATTATCCTACCTATTTATATGTGTGATGGGAAAGGAATTGTTAGTAACAGGGTCTAACAGCTGCGATGCTAGCGTGGAGCTCAACGTAATATACACTATCAGGGGGAAAGAGATTGTTAGTAATGGGGTCTCATAGCCCCATTGCTAGTAATATACTCTCTCAGGTTGATCTCCACGCGGTTTCCCCTGGAAACCATCGTGACTAATTTACCGTTGAATTTGTAACGATGGACTAACTGACCTGCCATTTTATCCTCACCTTTCATTGCTCACTGGTATCCCGCCAGTGTAAATCGATAGCGCAGGCAGGGTAACCATTCTATTATCATCCATTAAAAATATATATATATACTATCGGGGGGAAAGGGATTGTTAGTAATGGAGACTGAGAATCCTATTGTTAGTAATATACCCAACCAGGACGACCTCCTCCCGGTTCCCTCTAGAAACTATCATGGTTATTCCTGATGAACTCATCATGATGGGCTAACTGGGCTGTTTTCATTCTCACCTATCACCCTTCACTGGTGCTCCGCCAGCGTATCCCATTAGCGCAGGCGGGGTTACCATACCATTTTCACCCATAAAAAAAATACCATTATATTATCATCCATTATAAAAAACCTATACCAACCTAGGTATATGTGGTAAACAAATATATAACGATATAAATATAGTTTCATTGACTTACGCAAAAAAAAAAACAACGAAGACTAAGGTTGCTATCTTATTTTAATCATATATGTGGTAGCGAAAACATATCCAATGATAAATTCGCTTGCTATAGATTTAGGTGGATATCCTTATTTCTTATAAGATTCAAAGTAGATCAAAATACATAGAAATTTAAATTAGAGTATAGGTGCTAGTTAGAAATAAAATTCCAACATGATTGCAATTTACTTTTGTACCTGGGAAAATCCATTATTGAGAATGTATTTCAAATAAAAAAAAAAATCACTTCCTTATAATATTTAAACCCTCTTATTTTCCTTTTAAAACGATCGATCGATCGAGGAATGACGATCCTGTATCAATTTTAGAAATTATTTTACTAACTAGCGGTCCGTCCCGGCTTCACACGGGTGGACATTTTTACATTTAAAAAAATGGTCATTAAGGCTGCACACGCGACGGAAGCTTTGAAATGGAGTAACTTCTCCCGTTTTCCCAACATTTCCCTTCATTGCTCTGCTCCTATTGATCGTAGCGCGATGAAAAGTATACTATAACCTGCCCAAGAGTACGAAGAATAATTGTACCAAGTTTCGTTAAAATCCGTCGAGTAGTTTTTGTTTCTATAATGAACATACAGACAGACAAAAAATTTACTGATTGCATTTTTGGCATCAGTATCGATCACTAATCACCCCCTGATAGTTATTTTGGAAATATATTTCATGTACAGAATTGACCTCTCTACAGATTTATTATAAGTATAGATAGATAAACCTACCCCCTGATTACCTAATATACCCATGGGCATATTTAAAGTTACGTTCCAGTGACGGTCTGACTGCTTAAAAAAATTGTCATATACCTATAGTAGCTATATACTTATATTTAACAGTGATTTCTTCCGCTTGACTGGGATACGTTTTTTTTTTGATGGGTGAAAATGGTACGGTAACCCCGCCTGCGCTAACGGGATACGCTGGCGAAGCACCAGTGAAGGGTGATAGATGAGAATGAAAACAGGCCAGTTAGCCAATCATGATGAATTCATCAGGAATTAACCATGATAGTTTCCAGGGGGAACTGTGAGGAGGTCGACCTGGTTGGGTATATTGCTAGCATTGGGATTCTCAATCTCCATTACTTACAATCCCTTTCCCTCTACTGGGATACGTTTATTAAATAAGATAAAAAGTAGGTTATATATACCTGTCGTTCTTCATCTCATATAGTAGACATATACCAATTTTTAGGATTTGGTTAAGGCATTAAGGCGCTATGAGACAATTAATATACAAACTCACTTTCGCATTTATAATATTAAATAAAGATTTTCAGTAATGAGTTAGCATCATTAGAAACTTGCCTAAAATTATACATATCCCGCCATCTATTATCATTTAATAAACGAATAATTAAGTAATCATGTTTCTTATTTTTAGTTTTCCTACTCGATAATAGATGGCGCTGATATTATCATTATAAATAATAACAGCTGATGTGAAGCAAAGCAAAAGTTTTCAAAAGTTTTTCAAAGGAGAACAATACATTTATTAATGTATATATCTTCAGCAAAACATTAAAATGAGTATTTATCATTGGAAGCTTGGGGACATCGCACTAGCTAAAATATGCAAAAAAGTTTACGCTAAAGTTCAAGTAGTCAAAGATGAAAAGGGCCTGTTTTACGACGATAAAGGTTTGATGGATTATTTTAAAAGATTCTTATTTTTTTGTACGTATTTAATGTAAATAATAAAACAGTAATAATAACTTCAACGCAGCAATCGCATTTTTTAAACTAGATATATACTTACCTGGATATATTTTTAGTTAATACTAATATCTATTAAAAAGTATAAGAATAATCTGTATCTTTTAAAAGTTGTGAATTTTAACTTAACAAAGTAATGTGAAGTGAGCGATAGGTATCAAATTAATTATTTAATTAGTTCTAGGAATATCAGCGAACGAAAATGGGACCATTAAAGTTACAAAAGAACTTTGTTATTACATTGAAATCAGTCGAACCAAGGAAAGACTTTGGGTCCCATACACCAGTCTGCACCTTGCTGCACGTTCTAGACCTTTTTATGGGCCAGCTGACAAGGTATCCCCAGCACCAAAACAAATATCAACTACACCTAGAAAGGTACTAATTGCCATAATTTTTTTTTTTAATTCATAATATTTATAAACTTGCTAGGTGGTTAGCAGATCCATTTAATATTATAACTGAATATTAGTGATTTATCATATTATGGAGTAAGAGGGAAATGAGAGTAAATAGGTGTTAATAACTTGATAAAAAGTGATGATCCTCAACTAGAGACCACTATCCATCATCATCATAGACATTACAGAATTTTATTCTCTTGCCTATGGTAGCCCAGTTTAAAAAAAATATTTTAAAACTGGTAATCTGTGCTTATATTCTTGATATTTTAACTGCTATATTCTATTTAAATAATATCACTAAGTAATTAATATATTATTTTTATTTTGTAAAATAATCACATTAAGCACTTACTTTGTTCATGAAGTTAGTATTTATTTAATAGAATATCAAATTAAACTCCTCAATAAAATAAAAAAATACTTTCACATTTCAGAGAAAAATTAAGGAGGATCACATTGTACCTCTTAATGTTAAATTAAATAAGTACAAAACACCAGATCTCAACACTACCTATGATGTAAGGCACACACCACTAAAACAGGGCAAGTATGAAAACGCTTTCAAAGAATTTGTACGACAAGGTACCGAGATGATTTTTGATGAATTCTATTTGCATTTAAAAAATAATCATAACTCTAATGAAGACTGTCTAGATTATTTAGCTAATGTAGATGCAAGTACAGAAGATAAATTTGAACTAGTCATAAAAAATATAGTAACACTTAAGGAGATTGAAAATTATTTACATCAATGCTGGAAATATAATTTTATCCACAAACAAATGGAGAATAGAGATGGACCTGAAAGTTCTGTGAGTAACTCTCAATGTAACTTATACATATACACACCTAGTCATAATATAATATCATGATATATATATATACTTATATAACTATCATAATTATAAATATATAAAAAACCTTAACTTGATATCTACCTAATATATTAGAAAAAATTTAGTACTCATTGCACAAACTCTGCTTAATTTAAAACTAGATGGCACTATCTGATATGTTCAGTATTATTTATTATTTGAAAATATCAAAAATATTATATTAAAATATGACTTTCATTTTTAAATAATTTTCTCGAATATATTTCTCTTTGCACAGAGACCTTATATGTTAACTATAAAATATACATATATATATTTGCATTGAATCAAATAGAGACCTTAAAGCACTAACATACTTAATCCTTTTTTTCCTCCCTTAAATACCGATATGTATCTATTTTAGCTTGCTTACTCTAATAATACACATTATTATGTATGTTCTTCATATTTCTTCAAAAATCAAAAATACATTTGACATCTTTACTTCCTTATTAATATCATAAATATGTAGTTTATAATATTATTTATTTATTCATTAGTACATGTATGTGTACAAGGTGGACTTAATGCTAAAACATTGTCTCCCATTCAACCTTAGGAAATTATTAATAAGGCTTTAATATTATAAACTATCACATGTGTCTTTTGGCTTAAACAATCACTGTAAAATTTGGTATACACGTAATATATGAAATAAGAAGAAGATAGGTCTCTAGACCCAGTGGAAAGCGAATTTGTCGATGGAAAACCGAATTCGTAAGTTGAAATGTGGCATCCGGCGTTGCTATCTCATTCTATCTCACGGACTCGCTATCGATGTCGATTCCATCGATGAATTCGCTTGCCACTTGTCTAGAGGGTCTAGTTTGTATATCCCTGTATAAATAAGCACCTATTACAACTGAAATAACTGTTTCATCACTTCAGCCATTATCCGTCCACTGCTGGATATAAGTCTCCCCCATAGACTGCCATAAAGAACAGTCGAGAGCCACCTGCATCCACTGACTCCCTGCTCCCTAAAATAACTGTTTAGTAATTATTAATCCTATAAATTGTTTCGAGTATATTTTATGCATTGAGGTATATAAGTTACATTTCTATTTTAATGTAACAACTACCAGTTTACCTTATGTGTAATTTGGTCGAATAACTTCGACTAGTTTAAGAACCATCCGGAACCCTTAATCTTGAGCGGCTGTGATTGCGCGCCTCAGCTGAGCGCAAGCTGTAGGCGTTTGCATTAAAACATAATGTGTACGTACTTTTAACAGTAAAGTTCCATTTCTGTTAAAGAATCCAACATCGCCTGAAAAATCACCAATAACATTACACGCGCCTTGGTGCCTTGTTTGCGGAAAGGGGGATAAATTGCGACAGTGTCCCAACTGCCCCTCTTCTTTTCATCCTGTTTGTAGGCGTGAATGGCTAATTACTATCATACGTAAGTATATAATGATTTATTTAAGTACCACATATTTACTTTAAGACAGTGTTTGTTGAATTGATCAAATCAGGGCCGGATCTAGGGAGAGAGACTTTCACTCACCAGAGGGACACTTTGTACAAAAGTCGATTGCTTGGGTACCTCTGTCCTATTCGTGTTTCAACCGTGAAGTAGTTGTGTTTGTATGGTTGTGTTTCAGTTTGAAGGGGGGATATGGCGTGAATTTACTGGATACAGGGGAATAACACCTGAGTCCTCAGGAATGGCAACGCATGGGGGGTATCATGGGCGAAACAGTATACTCTGTTATGTCCATGGTACTGCTCATGTCTATAGGTGACGGATACCACTTTCCATCAGGTGGACCGTCAGCTTGTTTGCCATTCTGAATTGTATAAAAAAAAAATCTAGTTATTTTGTCGCTCCGGGCAAAAATTAATATTTGCCCCATTTTATAATGTGCATTTTTCCAACTAAAACCTAGTTCGGTCCCTGGTCAGACTTAAAAGTTTAGTGCGAAAAATAATTCATCTACCTACTTATCGTAATACGTGGTTATTTTTTCTCAATACATTTGGCCAATATCACCATTATATTGCAAGTCACAAAAAATCAGTAAATCACTACTTTCAGACCGCAAAAATCCTCCGAAAAAGACCCAAACGAAAGTGACTTTAGTGGAGAAGATTCTGTCCAGCACCAGAACAAAATGTTCTATTCAGAAGGAGAATGACAATTTGGTTTTGTGTCCTAGTTGCATGTGGGGTCCTCGAGTGGGGTGAGTTCCGACCTCAAAAATAATAGAAAATTATTAATGTATCAGTATTTTGTTTTTTGTAGATATATAATTTTCGTGATTTCTTTGCCAGACGTAGTTTTTAATGATAGAAATTTGCCAATGTTATTGATTTACGCTGATGGAGTACCAGTAAGACAATACAAGTACCCATGGCAGGTCTATCAGTGAAAGATGACAAGTGAAGATGAAATCGGATCAGTGGGGCCAACGTGATGAATTCACCAGGATGTTTTCTAGTGGGATCGACTGAAAGTCCGACTTGATACTAATAAAATTCTACAATTCTAATAATTTCCCGGCAGCTCACTTAGTTGCTTTGCATTAAAAACAATCCTGGATATTTAGGGATCGGAATAAATAGAGCTGTCCAAGCAATTACCGTTATTTGTCGTGTTGCAAATTGCTGGCATGCCGATTAGATGTATTGTTTTTCCTTGTATTAATGTTATATGCCGATTTATGCATTGCTTTTCGTTGTGTAATGTTACAAAGAGGGAAAATTTTATTTTTTTGTTTATAATAGATATACTCAAAAAATACTTAACCAATTTTTTTTTAAATGTGGCACAGATAATAAAATATTATTTACTAACGTATTGAAAACTACATTATCTGCGAATAACATGGGTTGTATCATATTAAAAAAATTCGGTACTTTTTAATAACAAATGTGTTGTAAATCGTCGAATATATAAAGTAATTATTAGAAAGGAAAAAAATATTCAGAGAGAATTGTGTACTTTTTTTTTATTAGAACAATGAAGGACAAGACAAAAAATAATGTCGAACAGTAATTTTAAAATTATGTCAAAGTCTATATATCAAAACATTTCCAGCCATTATCAACAAATATAATAGAAATAACTGTCCCCCAGGTATGATGACGTGGTGTGGCACAAGCTGGGCTCGTGTCCGTGGTGGCCAGCCCGCGTGCTGCCGCCCGGCGCGGTGCCTTCGTGTTTGCTGGCCCGGACACACCAGCCCCATCACTGGCCACTCAAATACTATGGTGAGACAACATGCTTTTACATTCTATTTATCTGATTACTAATTTTTACCTACAACTTCGTCTGCCCGAGCAGGATATATTATTGATTAACGAGAACATTTAAAAGTCCTTTGTCCTCCAACCCAAACGCTGCGAGCGTCTAATATCATAACGATTGATTGGACTCTTAACGTTTAAAGAGGTCAATAACATAGTCTATTTTGATCCTGGATCCCGATAGATCCGGATAAATTTGTGTTAATATTGATTGGCGAATGAAATTTAGCGATCTGGATAGTGAATATAAGACTGAATCCTCTTCAAATGGTTGCAAGTTATAATTTTGGTTTTTTGTTGTTTTTTGGTGTTGGATTTTTTGGTGTCGGCAAAGGTAGTTAAAGTCGGTGGTGGGCACAGGTACTAACAACCACTCCTGGGGTGATGGCAACCGTATGTGCTTGTTCCTGCCAAGTCACACCGCTGCACTGGACTCCGGCAAAGACCCCATGTTACAGCAAGCGGTGCTAGACGCATGCGATGACTATATTGCAGTTTATCTAAAATAAATGTTAACACATTTTAAGTGGCCTGTATAGCCCTGACGATACTGCATAGCGGGCAAAATTTGCAAGGCATGCTAATTTTTCGCTTACTTCGTAAATTTTGCCCGAACTAAGAGAATCATAAAACAAACATCTACTTATATTTCATAAATCAAGTACTTTCCAAAGGGGTACAAATACCCCCGCCCCGTTGATAGACGGCAGTCCATAAAACGGGTATTAGTACCCGCCCCGCTTACAATGTGTTAACTATAAGACCTTAACAATAATAATAATAAGGATCAATTCACACCAAATGTGTGCATATTGCATGCAAAGTATGTGCACTTTACAAGTTATGGTATGATGGGTAACAGCTGATATTTTTTGACAGTTTTTACTGCAGTAGAACAGTAATGAGTGAAAGTTTTAGTATCAATCAATTTGATAATTCAAAATTGTCACTTTCGTGAAATCAAATGTTTTGTTGAAAACGTGAGTTGGGTCTTTTTTAAAGTTTTCTTTTTCTATGGTTTTGGTAACTTTTCAATATGTTATATATATACAGTGAGAACCGCATCTCTTTTAACCGATTTAAAAAAGGGGAGGTTCTTAATTCGTCGGAATTTTTATATTTTTAATATGTTTCCTGATTACTCGAAAACGCACGGACCGATTAGAAAGTCTTTTTTATTTGAAAGGGAATATTTACAAATTGCTCATCCAATCACAGAAATGCTATCAAAATCGGTTATTAGTGGAACAATAACTTGTGGAAATCGCTTAAAAAGCGAAGCTCTATCATAGAAAACAAAATCATTTGTATAATTTTTCAAATTCTTTTTATTTAGTTGTTTATACTTCAAATTATGATTAATTATTAATCGCGCATGCATTTTGTGTGCATTAATTTTTACCTACGCTTTGAGTCTCTGCAGACGATGGACTTTATCTCTGCTGGCAATATTTTGCCATGTGTAAGCCGTCAAATTACACAACACAGGTGGCATTGGTGTTTACTATTTTAATGGTTGTAAAAGTTGTAGGGTTAAAATTTTTAAAATTTTATACCTTCGCGTATCGATTTAAAATACAATATAGAATACTCTGCGATGCCCGTGGTACCACTCATGCTTTTCCTGAGGACTATGGTCTTATATGTCCGTAATCTTCTCCTCTGTAATAGCTTTTCAAACCGAAACACAACCATACAAGAAGAGCGAATTACTTCATGACAGAAATACAAAGAAGACAGATGTCAAGCAAACGACTTTTGTACAAAATATACATGTGGTAAATTTTGTCAACTGAGAATGTCTTCTCGTCTAAGCAGACAATTATTATATTACAGTGAACGCTCTATATAAACAACTCATTTGAACCAATTTCAATAAAAAAAGTTTCTTATTGGGAAAAGTTGTTTATAGGGAAAAAAGGAGTATAGTATAATAGTACATTACTACAGTGGCCAGCAACTGAGGCATTATTAGACGAACGTGCAAATGTGGGCCGAGGCGTAGACGAGTCCATCAATGCCTAGTTGTGGCCAAGGCTTGTATAGTACTTTTCTCAATGCGCGGAAATCAAAAACACAATTTTACTTTTTAAGTTCAATTACGAATAACGAACAATAATATTTTTTTTCACGTGCTGTAATGTTCCTTTGTTTTTTTTTCAATAAACATCTTTCTATTTGCAAGCCAGTTCGAAATTTAAATAAAACCTTGTAGTAGTTACCTCCTTGGTAGCCACGTTTCGAAGTAAAAGGTCATTCCATTTTTAAATTACAGGACAAATATGAGTTTACATAGTAATTTATCTGGCCGCAAAACACGACAGATATGGATTTTCATACAACTTTTGCCGGCCGCTGCCCGCATGTATCTGGCCAGTACGGCAATTTTGATTTATCTCGAAGTAGATTGTAAAAATAACGCTCACATTTCCAAACATGTTTGAGAAAAAATACTGTCTGGAAAATATTTTTAATTATTTCTTTTACTAAGTAGAATAAATAAAATATAAAGAATGTTGCTTATAGAGATTGCTTATATAGAGCCTTCACTGTATATATTAATATTCGAGTATTGGCAGTCACACACATACTAATGGTAGTGGAATTAAACAAAATAATTCTAAACAAATAACCGTTATTGTATTTATAGATACTTGTGAAGTAAAATCATGTTTAATTGCTTCTTATTGTAATCCGCCTGATATGTATCAACGGCTTGTCAACTACAACTGTAGGTAACTACGGTTAATTTACATTATCAACTATAAATTGAATTAATATCTTTATTCAACTATCTCTTTTAAATCATAATTTTTTATAATTGTACTGTTGGGTTCAAGATGTTGTTTCTGAGAACAGACGTGTTGTAGACCAAATTTAATTATGTTATTTAGTTATTCTTTGATAAATGTCGCTCATTTATAATTTGCAATATAATAGGTTAGTTAGTAATAATTAAATTAATAAATCTATTTTTGAAAACTATGAGAGCTTTGCAATTAAGTTCAAGTGAAATGCATGCCATGACAAGTTATAATGGGTGCTTAATATGTATAAATTTTATATTTTATTGACATATAATTAAAAACGATAAGTATCGGATGTTTCTTAATCTAGACATAATAAAAAATACATTAAAATTAAATAAATATATATAATAAAATTAAATATATATACGTATTGAAAATTGTTTTAACAAATCATGTTATGTTGGTGCAATAAAGTGTTAAATAAATAAATAAATATATTTATATATATAATTAAATTATTAATATTGATAAAATATACAAGTAATTAAATAACATCAATAATTTATCGCTGCGAAGATGGTTCACATAGTTTTAATCAAATTTATTACCTACTTATCTAGTGTCACTGTTGGTCGCCTAGCAACAGTTATTTAAAAGTGTCACAATCGTTTCATATAGTATAGGTACAGTCGTTCAATCTTAGGTGATAATATGTTAATTTTAAAGTTTTTTTTTACACTGAGTAGTTTAAAAAATTGGTTTTATTATTTCTCTTTGTGTGATGCATAAACGATGTTTACACCTAATATAACGACATGCCTCGTTTTTGATCTCATACTAAAATGTTTTTTTTTTCTTTAAAAAAGTTATAATACTCAGGTATTAAATTGTATTTTTTTATATGCAACTTAGAATGGCAAACAAGCTGACGGCCCACCTGATGGAAAGTGGTAACCGTCGCCTATAGACATGAGCAGTACCATGGACATAACAGAGTATACTGTTTCGCCCATGATACCCCTCATGCGTTGGCATTCCTGAGGACTCTGTGCGCTGTAATACAGACAGGTGCATTTTAGCAATATTTATTGAAAAATTATTATTGTTCTTGTTAATATTTTGTTAATTATATTAAGTTAGATTTTTGTTGAAATCAGTCTTATAATCATAATTTACATTTTCCTACTATTAAATGTTTTATTGAATCTGTATTGTTACGTTTTAGTAATTTTTTATTTAGATTTTAACCTATTATTATATAGCATGTGGATAATAGATTAAGCAATATTGATATAAATTAGCAGGGTACAAATGAGACACGATGAAGACAGCCCATCGTGACATGTTAATCACATGAATCGCTTCAAAGTTTAACTATCCCACTATTGTAATTATTATCCTCCTTCTTACCAATCGTCTAAGAGATACATCTGTACAGAGCAATGTGTCCCGAATAGTTATGTAATCGTTCGGGACATACTAAAAGCGCTCGACTACTAACCAGCGGGTCTACCATGAAATGAAAATCCGAAATTTCGGACTCAATTTCGTGTTTTTGTTTATACCAAAATCGGATCAAGAAATGGAGTTTAACATATCGTTCGTCATACATCCGATCATAAAAGTCCAAAGGAACAATATTTTAACATTTTTAATATTTCCAAACGGCATGTATTATTTAATTTTAACATCAAATTTCTGTTTCATTTGGCTCCGAAATTTCAGAAAACATTTCATGGTAGGCCCTCTGTAGTCAAGCGCTTACACTGAATTGTGCGTCGAGGTGCGTAGGCACTTAGTACGTGACAGATAAATCCAAACGGATACGATTTACGTAATTTGCGATAGTGACGAGTGAAATTTCCGATAGTGTCTTGCAAAAAAAAACGTTTAAAAATCGATCAATCACATTCCGATTATATCGAATGTTTTCCTGACAGATCATTTAGATTATACAAATCCGATAAATCGTAAAAATAAATGGAACTGACAAAACGATTATGTATCTTAAATAAATCAATATTTTTTTTTATCATCGCTCTTTTATTTTACGTCATTTATATTTTCCATTAGGCATAATCTCAAAATTGACTACTGAATGGCGTCTTAGTAAAAATTGTATTTTATATAAATGCTTACACTGTGACTTCAATTGCGGCAAAACCAGTAATTTTGATTTTAAATCTAAACTACTTAACTAATTTTGAATAAATTTCTATAACCTCAATCTGAAAGTATATCCTTTCAGATAAATAATTTTCCAAATCACGTTATGACTGACAAAGTTATGAGGTGTTAAATATAAAAAATACGAACGAATTGAGAACCTCTTTCTTTTTGAAGTTGGTTGATTTTTTTTTATTACCACAAAGTTAGCAAACAAGCATACAGCCCACTTGCTGGTAAACGGTCACTGTAGCCTATGGACGCCTGCAACACTAGGAGTGTCACGTGCGCGTTGCCGACTAGTTGAAAAGGTAGTCTGCTGATGATAAGAGTAATATTATAAATAAAAATCTATTTCTAAATTGTTTATAATTCCAACAACATTTGGATACCTTTTAATTGCGTTCTATTGATACTACATATGAAACCATAAAATCTTGCTTTACTCAATAACATTTGTATGTTTTTGTAAGTGAAAAAATAGTAGTGGTTTTTTAATGGATGATAATGGAAAGGTAATTTTGCCTGCGCTATCGGTATACACTGGCGGGACACCAGTGGGGAATGATTGGTCAAGATGAAAAGGCAGTTACCCTATCTACCCAGAGGGAACTTTGTACAAAAGTCGATTGCTTGGGTACCTCTGTCCCATTCGTGTTTCAACCGTGAAGCAGTTGTGTTTGCATGGCTGTGTTTCGGTTTGAAGGGTGGGATATGGCGTGAATTTACTGGGTACAGAGGAATAACACCTGAGTCCTCAGGAATGGCAACGCATGGGGGGTATCATGGGCGAAACAGTATACTCTGTTATGTCCATGGTACTGTTTATGTCTATAGGCGACGGTTATCATTTTCCATCAGGTGGACCGTCAGCTTGTTTGCCATTCTAAGTTGTATAAAAAAAATCAACTATAAATTAGTCATGGTTTCCAGGGGGAACCGCGTGGAGGTGACCTAATAGCGTATATTGATAGCAATGGGCACTAACCTACCCATTACTAACAATCCTTTCCCCCAGTATTGAAAAGGTGAGTAAGTACCTCAAAAGCGAATTCGAGTTAGGCGCTAAAAATAACACAACGGAATACATTATTTACATAATTTAATCATTTTTACACAAAAATAATACTTTTTTTTTTAATAATTCAACATTTAGCAAAAAGCAACATTATTTGACGTGATCACGACATTCAAAATATTTTGTACTTACATTAAATGAAAAACAACGGTATACAGATTGGCATACATACAAAAAATCATATCACAATCTCTTGTAGAGAAACGCTAGATCAACTAAACGAAATATAGTATAATATCATACATTCACACAACACGAGATAGCGTGAAAATGGAAATAAAATGGCAGAAGTATTATATGATAATCTGTTTTTTCCTCATTTATCCTAGTTGATAAACAATTTTAACATATCCTTTTATTAATAAAATAATGAACAATTTCTTAAAACAAAACATGTATTTATAATCGTACATTATTTGTTTTGTGTCTATATTATTTTTTAATAGACTAAATTCGTTCGGAAACATGCCAATATTGATTATCGAAAAAGACAAATAAACAGATTACAGAATTATGAATTATAAGGCATTTCTCCTACATTTTTTTACACACTATAGTCTATGAACACCTAGCATTCATCCATGGAAACATTCTAACACCAAAACCATTTTCAATAACAAGACAATTGTATAAACAAATTAGATAAATTCATTGAGATACATTACGCATATATTAAAAATTATATTTATTGTTATAGCAATAAGGTATGTTTTAGTATTTCCATTTTGAGAGAAATACATTTCAATCATTTTTACATTGGATTACACTTCTATATTCGAATTCTATGTAAAATATTTGCGATTCGAAAAAAACCTATCAAAGTAAACCTTATGTCTTATATCTTAAGGTTTAGTTTAATTAAGTCTTAAATTAATTGCAAATGAAAGGTAATCTCTAGTATGGTTAGCATAAAATGGGTAATATTTATCTATCACAGCCACAACGCTAACCGACAACGTATTAGAATAGACAAGGGCCAGGTTTAGTATAAATATAATATTTAAGAATTCCATATTAAAATTTATAAAAAATATACTTCAAAATCATGAGATTTAACTAAACATTTAGAAAAATCCAAGTCAAGCCCTGACTAAAAAAAATATTTTCGTTTGCCACAGAAATTTATATTAATAATATATACATCCCTGTTGAAAAATTATAAAACCTTATCCTTTCTAATCTTCGTGAAATTACAAGGTAACCTTGTTTTTTTTTTCAAGAATCAATTATCTTAGGTGTTTCTGACGGCGAAGAAACAATTTTTCTAACGAATGTTTCAATCGTTTAAAAAAATCCTCGCTTACTACTTTAGCGGACACGTAAAGTCCTCGTCAGAGAAATAAAAGTTGGTAATATTTAGCAATATCTATACATATATTGGGCACAATAACAGATATATTAGATATCAGTTATTCGATATATAATTACGAAAAGAAGAGCCCGCTCGTAACAAATATAGATATTTGACTGGTATGGGCGATATCGTAATGGATTGTCATCAATGTCCAGAACTCAATATATAGATATCGGATATTACCAATCTCTATAGAGAAATATATTGATATATTTCTATGTATCATTCATCCTAACATCTTTACAAAGTCACATACATAAATATTAGAAGATAAAATTAATGAACGAAACAGCAAAGTGAATGATATCTTTTTGACAGTTCACGTCATTTTACAATCAAATAGACAAATGGACGTCAGCTCTAAAAGATAATGGCTTAGAAAAGATTTAGCATTAATACTAACGTACCAATATCAAACCTTATCATACGATCAGTTTCAATAAAACTTAATGAAAAGGTGACCAAGTTTTGTTGAATTAATCACAGAAACAGGGGGGAAAGGGATTGTTAGTAATGTAGACTGAGAATCTCATTGCTAGCAATATACCCAACCAGGTCGACCTCATCCTCTTCGCGGTTCTCCCTGGAAACTATCATGGTTAATTCCTGATGAATTCATCATGATGAGATTCATCAACTGGCCTGTTTTCATTCTCATCTATCACCCTTCACTGGTGCTACGTCAGCGTATCCCGTTAGCGCAGGCGGGGTTACCATACCATTTTCACCCATCAAAAAAAAAATCACAGAAACAAACTAAACGAAGTTAGCAACAGATCGAAACATTCAATTGGTTGTTATTCATATTACTATTGGACTTAAGTAGACTGTCTCATGGCCGGGTCAGTCATTCGTTTGTTTAAATTTTTATTAAGTTCTATTGAAACAGATCTTATCATTATGTTTCTATATAATTAAAGATTGTGTCCCACAAAAAAACCAAGTTCAATTGTGTCAAAACCAGTTATTTTTATTTAAAAACGTAAACTATACTGAACTACTTTCCATGGGACCAATTTGTAAGTATATATTTTCAGACAGAGTTATGAGGTAACAAACATAAAAAAACCGTATTCAGAACCTTATTCATTTTGAAGTCGGTTAAAAATAACTTTTATCGTGATATCTATACTCGTATCTAATTACCAGATTAGATTCACTCCTGTCAACATATCATGCATACAATTTCTCTATTGTACAGTCAGCATTAAAATTACTTAAGCGTTAAATATATTTCAAATTGAACATGATGTTACCTAAAATAAACTATTCCAATACTGTCAGAAAAATCTTTCAAAATGTCAACAACATAATCTTTCAACATGAAATTTTCACATGGAATTTTACATGAAAATGCCATATGTTTCATGAAAGAACAATAGTGAATGAGATGCAATGAAGTTGTTACCAAAACGCTCTGGGAGAATGCATGTCAAGTATTTATCGTTCAGTATGGTAATGTCCTTAACTAATACTGAGGAACATCGAAAATATATGAAACTTGAGTTGACTAGTGGAATTAAGAAAGCCGGATCATACGAATCGTATTACGATTAATTTAATATAAACTCCTAAGGAATACGAAATTAATCGTTTTACGACGTATTTCGCTGGTAGCAAAGTTTCATCAGACAGGTTATACAAAATAAATCATGATTTCCTGAATAAAATTTGTTCCGTAATCAATAGATTTCAAGTCAGCATTAAAAATCTTTAAACACCTACAAATTTCTAAAATCCCTAAACATATTTGCATACATAATTATGCTAGATACAAAGAAACAGCGCCAAAACTAGCTGAATATCGTAAGGATCAGAATCAAAATAAAAAAAAAAAATAGCTAAATTATACAACATACATACATTAGAAAATCTTAAATGTGTTCCTCGATTTTCGATGCTGACTGTACCTCAAATAGCAACCTACAAACTCATTTCTTATCGAGTTATAAAAATTAAAAATCTAACAAAAAAGCGGAATTTGAATAATTTTGCACTGAGTAGTGTCTTACATAATACCGTCAGCAACAAAATTCAAAACTTAGACGACTTTGATGCTGACTATAGAAGTAATTATTATGAATAACACACAACAGACAGAAGTAGTTTATAACACAAATATCAAATAAACATAATAATTACAAAATGCATATAAACGTTCAACAGTTGCACAGCAACACTGTCACGTCATTAAATATTGCACAAACTCAATTTTCCGTTACACGTTTGTGTAGATTCCGTGAAAGTTACATTCCATATTAAATAAGGCATGTATTTAATTTAGTTGAGGGTTTCTTACTAAAGTTTCTACTGCACAAGTTCCTGGTATTAATGGTAGCCTTAACCCATTCAATACGGCGGCCATATTGAGATCCCTATGCAGTATACGGCTTAGTTTTTCATAAACGGCCGTCACTGACGGCACAACTTTTTCTACGTATATGGCTTAGTTAATTGTTAGGAGTGACTGCCAGTAAATAACGGGCTTCCACAAGTGACTGGAACGGTCTAAAGCACGTTTGAAACTAAAGGAAACCGAGCGCCTCGGAGCGCTCGCCGTCATTGGGTAAGGGTGGGGAGAGCGCCTCGAGGCGCTTGCCGTCACAAGGTATAACATTGGAGAGCGCCCTGGCGCGCTCTCCGTATTGAATGGGTTAATTAGGATAGTAAAGAAATTAATTAAATTAATTCGCCTAATAAAGAACCTCAAACTTGGTCGCACAGAACGACCAATTTTCATGAAAATATATTACTGATAATTCTAAAACTGTAAGAGAGAGAGAGATGGAAAGAGAAATATTTATTTATATATACATAAACTTAATTAATTCCCACGTTGAATTTGATAATGCTAAACATGTACCGTACATGTTTAGCATCAAATAAAAAAATATTCTCCCTCCCTTTCTCTCTCTCTCTCTCTCTCTCTCTCTCTTTCTCTGCACAGTAGGCATTTAAAATTGAAATTTCCTCACAGGTAAATGCATTACAATCTCATCATTTTGTTTAACCCAATAACATTTGATTTCTTATGATAATTGAAGATTTTACGTAGCATCATCCTAGTTATATAAAATATAAAATCATTGTAGGATTCACTAGGCTACAACAATTATACATATTGTCACTTATACAATATAAACAAGTTATGCCCTTATTCACCGGGGCCGATAAACAAAGCACTTACTGCAAAGAACAGGAACACTAGACCACCGATTATTGTAACTGAAATATAAAAGAAACGAATGCTATTAGTCCTTCGAGCCGGATATATTATTATTCATTCATAGTATAACACGATGACATTATTTTTTTTATATATTAACTTAATAAATAATACAATATATGGATACAGTCAAAAGTACAGGAGCGACTGATGTAGGTAAAGTTGTGTTTATCCAATATTATTTTTTGGATAACAGACTTTTAAAACATTCGTTATTGAATCAGTATAGAGATATTGATACTAAAATATATAGATATTGCTATATATTGATCATAATTATCATCTCAACCATTATCTGTCCACTACTGAAAATAGGCCTCCTCCATAGATTACCATAAGGAACGGTCCTAAGCCAACTGCATCCAGTGACCCCCTGCAATGCTACTACATATATTGGGTATTACCTACCCCTAATATATAGCAGTTAGGTGGAAGGGTTTGTTAGTAATGCGGACTACCAGTCATACTGCTAGCGATATACCCTGTCAGGTTGATTTCCACATGCCTCCTGGAAACCATCGTGCTGAATTCCTCGTGTATTCAGCACGATGGGCTAACTGACCTGTCTTTTCATCACACCTATCATCATTTACTGGTGCCCCGTCAGCATATACCGTTAGCAAAGGCGGGGCAACCACTCCATTGTCATCTATTAAAAAAAATATAGCAATGAGCAATTAATGGCCAAAAGAATTAAGAATATCTGCACTCACCAGTCCTTACAGATATCTTCTGCGCTACCATCCTACCCCCAATAACAGCTAGTCCGGTGCATAGGGCGTGCCCCAACGACCCCCCTACCACGACACCGACCGCGTCCTCCCGCGTCGCTAGCACCACGGTCGCTAACTGCGATCGATCGCCCCACTCCGCGAGGAAAGTCAGCGATGCCGCTTGCAGCAACACCTTTAATACGGCGTTCCGTCTCCGCCGTCTGCTCTCCTGTTGTCCTTGTTCTATCATGTCTAATGTTTCTTCTTTTTCCTCCTGCGAATTTTTAATAAATATAACTATATATATTAAAGATTTAATGCTCGATACACGGTGAAATTGAAATATTTAAAAGTGCTTTACTAATGACATCTGAAAAATTTTCCCAAAGGAATATGAATCGAAAGTGGACTATTACATGTACATAATAAATATATGTATTGTTTGATCCTGTTTTCACTGTGAACACACTTTTGATTCATTTACATCAAATCATATCTGCTTTAATTTGTGGTATATGTGTTACTGTAAAAGCCCGTGCCATTTACCGCTAAATCTTAGGTTTTACCAATTAATTTGTAAATGTAAAGATTTTTTTAAAAAATAACAATTTTTGGGTTTAACCAAATTTAACCTAACGTATCTTTCTGACCACAAGTACGAACGAGCACTACGCACTGAACATGCTTTAATTTTATGTTTATCTTTTAACATTTACCACATCTCTGATATAAATATAAAAAAATAAATAAAATTTATAGCAATGGTTTGATTTGGTAAAAGCCCTAAAATGATCTATATTTATAGATCATTTTAGGGCTCGTTAGTTAGTAAATCTAAGGATGTAAATCCTTACATTTACTAACTAATGTTGGTAAAACCAAAGATTTACCAAAAGCCTGCACATTGGTAAATAATGTTACTGTACACAGTAACGTAATGTAATATATATGTATATTACTGTAAACAATAACATATATATTAAGGCAGCTGTGATTTAAGAACAATTTAATTATCTATTGTATTTCTACATACGTAACTATCTATATCTGTTACTAAACTAGTTCAACATATAGTTTATTTTTTTTTAAAAAGTTACCTCAGTATACATATAAACAAATTTATACAAATAACGTAAAAAGACACTGTATATTTTTAGAACTTATGTTGGTACAGTACAGTAGTGCAATCACCTCTAAATCCCCTATAGACTATAGGGGATTTAGAGGTGATTGAACTATGAAATTTTCTAATTTAGTACCTGATATTAAACCATATCAGTTTCTTTTTATGTTTATATAAAAAGATAAATAGTGATAATAATGAATAATAAATAATAAAAGCAAATGGTTTCAAGCTGACGACTTGTGTGTCACGGCGTTTATAAGTATGTTTTTTTTTTCTTAATTTCACTTTTTTTTTTTTTATTTAGTACGAAAAGCTAAAGAAAAATTTAAATATCATTAAGTTACCACGATGTTACAGAAACAAAACATTTGTTTGATTCGCATTACATTGTTCTGTTTAGAAATTTAAATAACCTTGCAATCCCATTTTCTAGACTGTGTTATTTAAATATTTCCACTGGTGCGACATTAGACGATAAGATTAATCTGTTAATAACGCTATAAAGATATGTTGCTGGTAAACTTGTAATACAGAAAGTTAAATAAAACATTTCTCATTAACCTCGGGCAACACCGAAATAATCTTAATATATAAAAATTTCGTGTTACGGTTTTTGTTATCGAACTCCACCCAAACGGCTTGATCGATTTTCATGATTTTTTTTGTATATTTAGTAGATATGTGATTAGGTTGTCCTTATTCAGAAAAATATATTTATATGGCAAAACAATATTTATCAGGTCAGCTTATATATTATATATAATATGTAAAAATCACGATGTTCATTCACGCTAATCTCCAATAATGCTCAAAACATATTTAAAGTAATATTATGTTGTTTTTCGTGAACTGTAATTTCGTTAGGTTCGTTTCGTTCGCTTAGGATCTTTAGTTGATGTGGAAAAATAAATTATTGAAATGCAAACTTGCTATTATCAATGTTTATTGGGAGAGGAACTACAATAATGTTACATTACTAAAATACGAAATCTTAATGTTGCCAGTCAACAGTTTGTATTATTTGCTCCAACTTGAGAGATAGGATAGTTTTTATCATAGTAAGAGACGTAGTCGAGTAAAAATGGACCCGGTAGATGACGCGTTTTTACAATACTTATTTCAAATTACATGCAATGCAATGCGATAGAAAATTAAGCCTTAGTTTTAGAACATACAAAGACTAGATACAAAACATCCATATCTCAGAATATTTTTTTAAATGAAATTTGAAAGCATTGATTACATAAGTAATGCATTATTTCTCATACCATAGACTTTAGTGGTATATGTAGTTAGAATAAAAGCTAAGTGCAAAAAATTATCAATTTGCTGATATAATTAAACATTTATAAATAGGTCGAGTCCAACGTAGCAAATTAAACATACATGACTATATTTTATTATCATGAGAATTGATTGATATTAAATGTATAACATGTTGAAAAACAAAAATGATTGCGCGATTAATAATGACTAGGGAAACGCGAATACATTTGTGACAACCATACGGAATCTGAAGAGAAGAAGGTACGTGATTGTCAAAACTATACATTTATTTATTCTTACTCCTAAACTACATTATAAAAATATTAAATAAAAAATTACGAATAAGTAGATATGTAAAAATAAATTTTTGATATACAAGTATTAATGAAGGAACGACGCAAAATGCAATGAGACCTTACTAATTAGATACTAAAAAAGGCAAATACTGTTGATTAGTTATAGACATAGACAAAATAACATTTTTTCATGTTCAATGAATAATAAACATATTATTTTTTTTTCTAAATTGTATTTCGTTAGTAAGGTATTATATCGATGAAAATGCTGATAACAAAAAAATAAAACTACCAGAAAAATATACTTATAGATTATACGTTTAGTATTAAGTTTTTCTTTTTAAAAAATGTATTTCTTTATCTAATATTAAATTTAATGGACCGAATATCCATATGATTTAAAACGAATTATGCGTTTGCATTAATGTATATTTTTCTGATGACTATACTAAATACAAACATCTCAAATGCTGAATTCCTTTGCAATATAAACAATTTACGTAAGCTACCAAGAAGCTTTTTCGAATGAATCGTGATGTTGCGTGAAAGGGAACGTAAAAAGAAAAAAAAAGCTAAGCTAAAGAAAAATAACTATGGTGTCATTCGTACTGCCAGGCATAATGACGTAAGATCACCCTCAGCGATTCTGTTTGCGACGAGGGCCCCGCTTGGGGCTCCTCTGGCATCCCCGAAGTTTCTTCTGGGACACGTGAAGGCCCTGGGATTTGTGAACGTTCTGATGCGGAAGAAGTCGCACTGGGCGACCTCGATCGCTCTTTTGGAGATTCCTGTGCAGTACCATACTAATTGGACATAGAATTTACTACTGGCAGTTTTATTCTCTATCCTCGGGTTCTCAGTTCTATATTCGAAAACCCCCTTCCCGTTTTATTTTAAATTATTGTACGTATACATAACAAATATTATGTGCCAGTACGGAAGTATTAAATTTATTATGCATGGAAGTAAAATATACGTATAACAAAAAAAAAAGGAATTCAACATTCGGCAAACATATCCTTAGCACAGTATGTCTAAATTCTAAATCAAACAGGCATAATACATGTATCATTATATTATATCTTATCTACAAAGAGATTGTTTAAAAAAAGATAATTAAAATTTCCGTATCGCTCCTGTATCTTATGAATCGCATGCTAATTATGGTAAAAATGATGAGATATTTTCAAATATAAGTTTATTTATTATTTTGTGACCGCGATAGTATGAAGCACGAAATTCTAAAATACAACTAGACAATTCATGTAATTGCTCGGATGAGGTAATGAGGATATTCAATTATAACATTTTATGAATGAACGTCAACAAAACGCATGAAGTTAAATAATATTTCGTGGCTGTAACTACAGAGTCATTTATCCTACATTTTGCGAGGTACTGGGCACCTCCAATGCATTGTCTGTCATTCTTGAGAACTAAGACCATTTAACTAAACGAGTTAACGTGTCAGATTTCAAGGTTTAATTTGCCAATTGGCTGTTTGGTCCCGGCATAGAATAGGTCACCCCTTCCTTTCTCGTAAGTATCGTAAGAATCAACTAAGAGTGGGCGAGGGATGGGCTTCAGCTTTCGTCTTAAAACATTTTTATTGCCTAACTGCAGTTGCCAACCCGTCAAGCGTGGCAACTATTTAGCAAAACCCCCCAAGGGCTTCCCCCTTAAGTTCAGCAGTGGAGAGATATATATGATGATATTTTGCCAATTTATTATCCTTAATAATATTATAAATTTTAAAGTTTATTTGTTACCTCTTGGTGCTATTAGTTCGACCAATTTTCATGAAATTTGTTATACGAATATTATTCGAGATGGACAAAAACATATGCTTCTATTTATCTGTCACGCGAAGTTATAGTAAAAGTTACTTGTTAAAATTTTTATGTGGACGAGACATGATATTTTATTACAGAAAAACCACCAGTTATACCCTTCATAACACATAACGATGATATAAAAACAAAAAGCCAATTACAGGTTTTTCGAAACTAAAGATTACACGGACAGGACTATACATTATAAGAATATGCTATTTCCAATACCTTATTCTCTGTGCGATGAACGAGTATTATTAAAAAAAAAAATACAATGATACCGATTCTGAGACGCCACTTCTCTAAATTTATCGTTAAAATAAATAATTTGATATCGCAGCAAAATCTTATTGTAATGACCAATATGAACTCATTTTCTAATAGATTTAAGACAAAATAATTATAATTTTAGTTTGTGACGGTCTATATTATTATATAAAATAATAATTTCACGAAATTATCAAATTAAGATAAATTTAAAGAAATGACACTTGGAATCGATCGAATCGGCCCTGTTGTAATTTTACAATATGATGCAGTGGACTTCAAATGGATGTCATTATTTTATGTAACAATGCAAGACTAAATATAGCGCCGGCGATGGCATTTACTTTCTCCAAAAAAAAAGCATTAAAAATATTGTTATACTCAGGATCATAACCCAAGATTGGGTAGTTGAAAACATTAATCAACGCTAGTACCATTCTGGTGGCTGGTCATTTCGCTGAGCCCATTGTCAAGATCAAACATGATACTATGATTTATTATTCTCATTATCATGATGGATATACATTTTTATGGATATTAAATAGATTAATGTTAAAGAAGATAACTTTTACAATATATTTAGATTGCAAAAATTACTATCAACAACAAAAAAAAAACAAAACTACAAAAAATTTATTACAAAATAATAAAAGTAAAAACTTAGGCCTATTAAAATGACGATTAAAATCTCTATATTACTTGAAAGAAAAAGTTAATATTTCTATTTGTAAACAGAGATTAAACCTATATAGGTATCTTGAATTAAAATAATGTAATAACAAAAATATAACAATTCGTTGAATCATAGATTACTGATCAGACATTAGCTATATTAAAAACAAACAATAAATACGACGCATATCACTGAACTGATCCGGAGGAAACTGGATTTTATTTTACTGCAATTGGCGCTAAAATAAATGCGGTACGATGAATAAGAGACAGCGAATACAGCATGGATTCAAAACACAGTACTATTAAACTACAATAACATAAAAGACTCCAACAAGAAGATTGCCATGAACTCTTCTCGTAAAACTAAGCGTTCGAAAGAATCTCTTTGTTGATAAAAGGGGAAGGGGATTTAGATATTGCAAATTTAAATGTTAGTATTAATTACGTCACCAACAACATTAAAAAACAGCATTAAAATATAATCTTTTGTTTATAGATAAGTACCGAAACATCAAGTAGAACACATTGGTAAGAAAAAAAAAATGATCGGTCATTTTAACATCAAAATTGTAAAGCCACTTTTGCAAAATTGTCTTTTTGCAGTATATTTCTTATTAAGACTTCTAATTCCAATAAAACTATTTTTATATTCACCGATCGCTTCTTTTTAACGTGCATTATTTATGGCCTGTTGCCAGTTATCAACATTACCCAAAATAATATTGCTAAGTCAATATTATTTTGGGATAGATTTATTTACAAGATTAGAAGCGCAAACGTCGATTCAATCACAAGAACACATAATTTATTACGTAATAAAACCTCTTTCTATATTAGTTCTATCCGGAGGAAACAAAGGCATTATTAACTTTTATAAATCGTAAACTTTCAATTAAGATAATATATATTTCATAATGTTCAGAATTCTGAATTTGTCCAATATGTCTAAATTTTCAATCTCAGAAGTATGAGTACAAAATTGCAAAAGTGAATCAAAGATTAATAAATAATTACAAACACTGCAGATAGTCACATATTTAATTAGTTATAGCATTTTATAAATAGGATATTAGAAATATAATGGAAACAAATTCTTCCTAAACATTACTAAATAAACAAAAGGACTGACCTGATCTTCTCTTCTCTTCAACTCGGTTTGCACTTCCTCCAATTCCTCCTGTCCCTCATTGGGGTTCATTTTCCATCCATCCCTTAACATCTTCAATCCAAATATCGCAAATAGGGCTGCACTGGCGTAATACGTGTATACCCGAGGTATCACCGTAGCTATCCATCCAAAAGCAGCCGATAATATTGTCATAAAGACCAAAGCGGATATGGCCCCAGCGAATACTATGACTCGAGGGTGTTTCATCGCCATAATGGCGGCGATGAAAAAGGTCTTATCACCGAGCTCTGACACGATGACCACGGAGAGAGAGGCGAGAAACCCTTGCCAGAAACTGCCCTGAATTGCTGCGCGCTGTGGACGAAGAAATTATAATTTTTAAGGTTGTTACATAATTATCAAAATCTTGATATTAAAGAATGCCATAAAAAAAATCTTTATACTCTTGGAACTTATATGATGAGCCCTTTTATAACTATATTGTTTTTATTCTTTATTGCACTTGTTAATCAAATAGATAAGACAGTTATAAATATTGTGGGTAAGGTGTGGAAAGATATCTCTTCCAGCCAACCCAATACAGTGAAAAGCATGTAAGTTAGCGGGCAGCTAAAATGCACGAGTGCTGTACAAACGACTTTAATGTTAATAATATAGGTTCGTAATTACAAATAAACAGCTAAATAAAATACACACCTCAAAAGTAATAGGATCAAGTAAATTTTTAACAGTAAAAAATTGTCCACTTAAAATTTACCAATCTAGAATTTCAGAATAGCTACTTGCTAGTTTGAAATTAATTAATTATATAATAATTTCTGTTTAAGTTAACAAGTTATGCTTATATTTTATACCAATTAGGAAAAGTTACAATGTCAGCAAATTGTGAGAAATTAGTTTAAGTTAATGTCGTTAATTAAATGGCAAAAAAGCAAAAATATATATTTTTTAAAATTTATATTGTAATGATTAAAAAAAAAACTGTTTTCGTCATTGACACGAATCACATGATTACAGCGACTTGGCGTGCTTAAAATCAGTTTATCAAAATCACTTTAAGGAATGGCCATCTACGTTCTTTCTAACAAGTCAAAAAATTGTTGTAGGGTATGGACGGCATCCATACTCAGCACAGCTATTCTCTGAAGCATATCCCATGTGTGCTCAATCGGGTCGAGATCTGAGAAGCTCAAAATTGTAAATCTAGGTTTTTTCAAAGTAGGCAACGCGTGGGTAATGCTCCTGGAATTAAGCACGCGTTGCCAACCAGATATACAACTTAGAATGGCAAAAAAGCTGTCGGCCCACCTAATGAAAAGTAGTAAGCGTTGTCTATAGACATAAACAGTACCATGGGCATAACAGAGTATACTGTGTCACCCACGATACCCTTCACGTCCATTCCTTTCTAGGGACGACAGTGTTTTCTCTTGTAACCTTTAATTTATTGCCATATTCCACCCTTCAAATCGAATCATAGCCATGAAAAAACAACTGCTTCACGGCAGAAACACGAATGGGACAAAGCAGACGATTTTTGACCTCTGGGATTAGGTCATTTTCAAGACATACATATAAATACAAACTAATGTTATTAATAATGCTGATGTATGTCATATTTGTGAGTGAATAATTAGGATGTATTGTATATACAAGTGTATTTTAAACAGTATAAAGCAATAATATGTCTTATACGTCTGCTTAAATGAAGAAACTGACTTACTGATACATCATTGCATGGCCACAATACACTCAAAATATTTTGCGATATTTTGCATGATATACTGTGTATGCCACTACACCAGTATTTTCTAGAACTCGCATAAAAGACAGACTAAAAAACGAAATTATTAAAGAGTGCTCAAGTAAAACTGGGCATCTAATGAGCTTCTAAAGAAACATTGAAAAACGAAAAGTAATCGAGTCAACATGGCATCTTTTAAAATCTTTAAAGCATCCTAATGTATCCCATTTCGCCCTGAACCTTCACCTTTTATTTCACCGCACGATAGGTCATTGATCTAATACCAATTACCCCTATTCGGTTTCATGATTTATTGTCGCTCGAGCTAATATACGAATACGTATAAATGGTAACTAACATTTGTTGAAATAATCAGAGAACCACTCTCTAAATGAAAGTAGTAACAAATCGAAAGATTCAATCGATCGATTTTTTATTTGTACTACTGTTGGATATCTGCAAACTATTAAGTTCGGATCAATGGTTCGTTTATTTAAATTTTTATTAAGTTCTATTGAAACAGAGTATCTCTTTTTAAACTCTAACTAAATAAGTACATTTGAAATAGCTAAAACATCATCAGTCTTCTTTATTGTTAAAAGTTTTACTACCTGTATACCTGTATGTTTAATTAGATCGTGAAAGCTCGACTAATTTCGGGACCATTCGAAACCCTTCGGGACTCTTAGTATTCAGCGGCTGTGACACGAGCACGAGCCTGACTGTGCGAAAAATTATAACTAAGCGTTCCGAATGGTCTTGAAACTAGAAGATCTTTCTAGACTAAATGACATGTAAGTTAAACCGGTAGTTATTGCATTAAAATTATCCATTTGATGGATTCGAATGGATAATTTTATCCATCCATATGTTATTTTCTATCTGCAATATGCTTTCATATTTTGTTTAAGAATTATTACTACCGTCGGTTTGAATAATATACGAATTCGCACGCTTACTTTGGCAAGGTCATAAAATAATCCCACGACTGAATCTATTTCGGGGACGAACGTACGTCATAGCCTCCCCATAGCAGCTATGTCACGTAAGCTAGAACAAACACTACGGAAATTTTGGGAAACCACCAATGAAATTATAACGTAGTGGTATTGCCAGGCCTAAAATATGCTTCATTATCGTTACGAAAATATATACGTATAAGATTTCTCTATATCTAGGAAATGTAAATTCAAATCACAGTTAATATGAAAACCTTACACACTTAAATGGATCAATGAAAACTTTTCATCATCATTATTATATCAGCCTTTAACAGTCCACTGCTGATCATAGGCCTCCTTCGCAAAAGGAGGTTTTGCCAGTAGTTGCCACGCTTGGCAGGCGGGTTGGCAACCGCAGTTAGCTTGTAGGGTTGTTTTATGCTCGCCCTCCTTAGTCGCCTCTTACAACACCCGCGGAAAAGGAAGGGGTGGCCTATTTTATGCCGGGACCATACGGCCATGAATGAAAACTTTTGCTTCCCTCAAATACGAGTATAATTACATAAAAATATATACACAAACAAAATTAAAAGTAAGGTGACACAACAATGAGCGGCTTTATAGATAAATATCGGTAAATGATGATCTCCTTCAAGCAACCTTAAGATGAAAAGGAGATAAAAAATTAAACTTGCGTCTGGTAACGACGTAAAATTATAAATAATAAATCTAAAAATAATGAAAAATGCATTCCACAAACAACCTGACTTCAATTGTGGCAAAACTTATTCTTCTGATTTTAAAACTAAACTACCGAACTGATTTTTGATAAAATTTCTATGGAACTTATCTATAAGTATATCATTTCAGATAAAAAAAAAATCTAAATCGATTCATAATTGACGAAATAATGAGGTATACAACATAAAAAAATACAACCGAATTGAGAAGCTCCTTTTAAAGTCGGTTGAGAAAGGGTGGGTAAAAAAGAATTTAATCCCACAAATAAAAAAATATATGCCAGGTTGTCTGTAAGAGACTGCTTTTAACGATAAGGTCGCCTTTTGTATATGCACATTCTGTATAAATACTCCTTGTATACATCTCTATTGCACGCAATAAATAGTTTATTATTATTATAAAAAAAAATAATAATGACATCTTCCAGCGAGGGGCTTATGAGGCAAAATATAAATATACTAATATTTCGCTCAGACTCATATTTGAGTCTATTAATAGATTGGTAGGTTTTGCGACACCATTTTGCACAACCAGTTATACCGCAGATTGTAGTGCTTACGAGCAAAGTAAATAAACAGGACTGTAATGAATATAGGGTTGCCGATTTAAACTTAACAATAAGTTCGATCAATATACCTTTAAGTATTTATTACCTAAATGTGGAAACTTCATTTCCAATCCAAGAAAGTAAATGTAAAACAAACGGTTTCATCAAAACAGTTTCATAATAGCGAGATCATTTAATTAAAAAAAATAATAATTAACCCCAATATGTATGATACCTACCTGATTAGAAACACTCGTATTATGGTCAAAAATTAATTTCTTCATGAAAACATATATTTTTAAAACCAAATGTTGGCAACCCTATCAGCATACATACAAACTAATGTCCATTTACGACTATGTCCATATTCGTTATCCTGCTTTTAGTCTTGGTATCCGTAGTTGTACATTTGAAATTATGTTTTAGGAATAAATTTTGATAGTCAAACCATTACTTAAAATTATGGCCTTTAATTATATCTATTAATTTTTAATTACATGTTATGTCACATCATTTATGACCACTAACTAGATGACCCGAAGTGTCGTTTAGTCAAATCGTTTTTCGGGCAATTTTTCCAACTTTTTCTAAGAAACTTCAAAAGAATATTTTAAAATAATTCGCGCTTAGCTTAGTTTTGTACTCGGAAACAAATTTAGCTATTAATTCTTATTTATACAGATAAATAGATAGTGTCATAGTGTTAACTTTGTATATCTATACTTATAATAAATCTGTAGAGATGTCAATTCTGTACATGAAATATATTTCCAAAATAACTATCAGGGGGTGATTAGTGATCGATACTAATGCCAAAAATGCAATCAGTAAAATTTTTGTCTGTCTGTCTGTCTGTATGTTCGTTATAGAAACAAAAACTACTTGAGGGATTTTAACGAAACTTGGTACAATGATTCTTCATACTCCTGGGCAGGTTATAGTATACTTTTCATCACGGTACAATTAATAGGAGCAGAGCAGTGAAGGGAAATGTTGGGAAAACGGGAGAAGTTACTCCATTTTTAAGCTTCCGTCGCGTGTGCAGCCTTAATGGCAACTTTTTAAAATGTAAAAATGTTCACCCGTGCGACGCCGGGACGGGCCGCTAGTTATTAATAATCTTCTTTGACCTCAGAATATCGAAAAATGAGAATAAGGGAAATATGCATAATACACTAAGGTAGCAGAAGGAATAGTAAATTTTCTATTCATATATTATTAACATATATGAATCTTGCCGTGTGGTCTCGGCAAAGAATAGGTCACCCCTTCCTTCCCCGTGGTTGTCGTAAGGGACGACTAAGGGAGAGCGAGGGTTAGGTAGCAACGTTCCTCTTTAAACATCTTCAAAGCCTGCCTGCGCCTGCTAAGCATGGCAACTGCTGGCAAAATTCCCTAAGGGGGAGGCTTATGTTCAGCAGTGGACAATCGAAGGCTGATATATAATACATATGAATGTGTAAACTTGTTTGGACGTTCATTACTTAATTGCAATTAAACGATGCAAAAGGATTGATGATTGATGAATTTATTATTTTTAATCCTAAGTTGCGTGACCAAAACCGTGGGCTTCAATTAGTATTCTCCAATGCAGGGAAAGTATTAAAAAACGCCATATAAACCAAAACGTGTATCTACACATAAAAGTATCTGCATATAAGAATTCTAATATTGAATTCTCACTGTCACTTTCAAACGTGTGTAACCTGAATACCTAATATTTACTGGCAAATTTATTTACAATGTTAAAGATATGGTATAGTAGATACCTATTTGTTACGACATCCTTATCATATACTATACATAAAGCTATGTGCTAATTGCACCAACAAAAAACGAAAACAAATTTAATATGTAGGTACACCTTCCTATCGTCGCAGTTTCTATCCCGCACAATACAAAAATTGGGGAAAGGGATTGTTAAATAATGAGATCAAACAGGCCCATTACTGGCAATATACCCTAACAGGTCGACCTCCACGTGGTCCCCCTTGGAAACCATCGTGCTGAATTCCAGGCGTATTTATCATGATGGGCTGACTGACCTGCTCTTTCATTTTCACTTATCATCACTCACTGGTGCCTCGCCGGTGTATACTGATAGCGCGGGCGGGGTTACCATTCCATTATCACCCATTAAAACAAAAGTATTTATAGTATAAGCTCTGATTATTTTAACACACTAGATGACACTGTATAATATAATGTCTAGTGGTATTTATTTACTAGCGACATAGCCCGGCATCATAGTTTTAAAAAAAATCAGTCCAAGTCACAAAAATATTCCCGCTGATAACGTAGCTTTCCCCGGGTATTATCGCAATAGGTATAAGTATAATCTTATATATAAAATTCTCGTGTCACGGTGTTTGTTACCAAACTCCTCCGAAACGACTTTACCGATTTTTATGAAATTTTGTGTGCATATTGGGTAGGTCTGAGAATCGGCCAACATCTATTTTTCATACCAGTCAATGATAAGGGTGACCCACCCCAAAATATTTTTTTTTGACAATTTTTTTTTATTTTATTATAATTTAGCATTGAAAAATACATGCAACTTTAAATTTTCATCGTTTTACGATCAACCCCTGTATTTTAATCGCGATTTTTATATTTCGCAATAAGTGGTAAAACAACGTTTACGGGGTCAGCTAGTAATATCTATAATCAGTTAAGTATTATTTTAGTTATTCATTACAAACAAAAAATCTAATCCTTTTCTGTATAATATTATATTAATAACACGTGTTTACATGATACATTATGTCATACTTCCATGGACATTTCTGGTGCTGCATACAGTGCAATTTGCACCTTATGCTTGAAAATCAACCTTTAAGATTGGAAAAATAATTATCAAAATCATATAATAATTATCAGTAACATACACAAAATAAATGTCGTCTGCATTTTTTGTATGTTACGCTATTGAAAACCTCTTCCCTTTCGGAAATCATTTCAAAACGACTATTCAACTTTGAAAATGTTTTTCCCCGCCGCCATAAAAACTATGATGATGTCACAAAGTTTAAAACTAAGTTTAACCATTGTTTCTATTTATGGTCTTGTTACAATAATACTATTTGTGCCCACGACTTCCTCCATGTAAACGGGGTATATTGACTGGTGTAAATAAAGGGGAAAGGGAATGTTAGTAATGGCGTCAAATAGCCCCATTACTAGCAATATATCCTGTCAGGTCAAACTCCACGTGGTTCCCCCTGGAAACCATAGTGGCTAATTCTAGTTGAATGCGTCAGGAAAGGCTAACTGACCTGCTTTCATCCTCATCAGTCATCTACCACTGGTGCCCCGCCAGTGTATACCGATAGCGCAGACGGGGTTGCTATACCATACCATTATCACGAAGGTGGCAAACAAGCATACAGCTCGTCTGATAGCAAACGGTTACTGTAGCCTACGGACGCCTGCAACACTAATGGTATCACATGCACGTTGCCAGCCCTAAATAACATACGTCATACTTCATGTATGCCATAATTAATGAACATTGGTTTAGCTATTAAGGCTCCAAAAACATACAAAGCCACTTTCACATTTATATTTGTTAAGATGGTTAAGCTATCGTTATGGAATATTATTATTTTCGAATTAATTTTTATTCTTCCCCCTTGACATGGATATTTGTTTATTTATAACCTTTTTACAGTTTTAATTTTTTACCAGACGGAGACTTTGTACAAAAGTCGATTGCTTGGGTACCTCTGTCCCATTCTGTTTCTACCGTGAAGCAGTTGTGTTTGCATGGCTGTGTTTCGGTTTGAAGGGTGGGATATGGTGTGAATTTACTGGGTACATAGGAATAACACCTGAGTCCTCAGGAATGGCAACGCATGGGGTGTATCATGGGCGAAACAGCATACTCTGTTATGTCCATGGTACTACTCATGTCTATAGGCGACGGTTACAACTTTCCATCAGGTGTGCTGTCAGCTTGTTTGCCATTATAAGTTGTATAAAAAAAAATTACACTCATTATATATTTTTTTCTTGTGTGTTTCTCTGTGCATCCAATGACACATAGACTTCCTCTAGCTTTTTCTACTTATCCCTATATCCTGAGCTAACCAACCAATGGTTGCCTTGATATCATCAGACCATTTCTCTTGATCGCCCTTTACTCTTTTTTGTGTCTTCACGCGGTTGCTACTCTGCCAGCTTTTCACAAGGATATTATTGAGCCTAATATCAAATCTCAATGACAAAGTGAATTGGATTCTATATGCCCTACATTATGAATTTAAATCACATATTTTGCTATACGAGTATACTCGCGGATAATGGCCACATCTATTAGTATAGTCAAGTCTCATCATTCGAATCAAACTACTGAGGCAAAGAAATAACTTGAATAAAACGTATAAATCTTTTTAATATTATGAATGAACTTAAAAAAAAAGTTTTATTAATAATACAGTGAAGTAACAGTTGGACACACAAGATTGTATGGCCTTTATATTCTACAATATCAATATTTATCAACACATTTTAAGTCATTGAACTAAGTCTTAATTAAAAATATCACAAGGTTTCTATGGTATGTCGCGTAATGAGAACCTCATAGAAAAGAAAAACAACGTATCTCACAACTTGCATCGCATCTAGAGCTTTGATTCTAGATTCTGAATATTTCAATTTGTGCCTCTAGATGTTCCTTATTTGATTTCTCTTACGTAACGTAAGACAATGTATTTTTTATCCTTTTTTCCCTTTTTACTTCTTCCTAACTTCCAAGCTTAGTACATTTCTGCTCTAAAATAAAAATGATTTAAAATAATAACAACCATTGCAAGAAACGTCATTGTAAAAGAATACGAAACGATTATTGAAAAAAATTAGTGTTTTTTTATCCTTGATTATTTTTTGGCTAACGAACTAAAGCCCTACTACAAAAATTCATTTTTCATCATTTGTATTTTTAAAAATAACGAAATTAAATTATTCACGACATAATTATACAATTAACAACAATTAAGAATGGACATTAGAAACCAACCTTTAATACAATATCCGTCAGCCATGACCTAAAATCAGATGCACCTGTAGTTGTTTCTGGCAGGAAAGTAGTAGTTTCGGCCAGAAAAGAGGTACTATCAGCTAATAAAGTAGCATCCCCCATAACTGAAGACGTCTCACCGAAGAAACTACTAGTCTCTGGTAATCCAGTTGTAATTTCTGGCATATATATAGAAAAAGGTAATAAAGTTGTCGTTGGTAGTATAATCTCGAGGACGTCACTCGAATTCATTTTTTTAATATTAATTATGCACAGTCACAACACTTAATTAAGAAAAAAAAACTAATGACCGGCGTCGAACGCGCCAAAAGAAAACAGTGTCACCTGCATATTTAACAAAGCAGTGTTTTATACTGATACAGTTATCATTTAAACATCAGATAACAATAATACTACATATGGATACATTAGTTACGTAGACCTAGTTCTTTATTCAATATATATGAGTAACGATAACACGCGACCAAGCGCTGTGTGATACGCGGCTAGACTACGTTCAAACACCTTGCTTCCGAGGATAACTCAAGGAGTTTTATGTAAGTACAGTTGGCGGGAAAATGTTTAGAAAAAAAAAATACTATTTTTAAATTTTGAATCTGTGCCAAAGTCATCTGCGCAAATCTATGGTATGGTAATTTTTATTACTTTATGGATGGACGTCCGCGCTGTATGCGGAGGAACGATGACGTCAAGTAATCTATTAATAATGATAGGAGTACTATTTTCGCATGCCTTCGCTTAATTTTTATCTAAGATTATAGATATCGTTTATAAATATGTATTAAATTATGTGGATATTTCAATATTTGTAACTACCTAGGTATCTCTTACAGCCACTAATTGTAATGAAATAAGAGAGCTGGAGAATGATATGTGACTGTAATTAAAATCATAACTTTTTAAAATAGTAAAAAAAAAAAATAAAGAGATGACTAATTAAATAACATTTCAATAAATTCACAGATTAAATATTAAATATCTTTACACGCATAAAGATATAAATAGAATAGTTGAGGATGGGGTTGATTATTCTTAAGTTATTTATTTTATATTTTTTTAAGCAACTTAGAATGACAAATTAGCTGACGGCCCACCTGATGGAAAGTGATAACCGTCGCCTATAGACATGAGCAGTACTACATATAGCTACTTTCATTTAAAATTTAATAAATATTTAACGGCGAGTGAAACCATACGAACATATATTGGCCACTATTCTATCGCATCTTATGTGACAGGGAACATTAACTTGTAGGTACTTATATATTTATTCACTAGCATTGTTTACCTTATATCAGTGCCACTGGACAGATTAGTATTAATTTATCTACGGGTTTCCTCATGATCTTTAGCAACCATGTAGCAATATGTCCGAGTAATAAACTGTTCGACGTTGTGACATACTCTAGCTGAATCTTTATCTGATATTATAAATGTTTGGATATTTCTTTGTTTATTAAACGTCCGAACGGTTTCAAATGGAACTTGATACACGAATAGGTTATATCTTAGATTATCAAGTAGTAATATTTTATTTCTATTTACCACAGCTTTGTCCACTAGTATTTATATATTACTAGCGAACTTATGTGATTGTATTATGTAACTCAATAGCTAACTATGCTCGTTTGAAATGGATTGAATGGACGAAGACGATTGGGATCGCCCAATCGAGGGCGATCTGATATTTCAGTAGCAGTCTTAGGCCTTTCATCTTACTTTATATACCCTAAAATTGCACTCTATCCCCAAAAATATATACTCAATGTGTCCAATAGAGCAGGCATCCCGCCACCCGTATCAATTAGCGAAGACGGAATGCCTGAATAAATGCACATCTAATTATAAAAAAAAAAACAAATTGAAACTCACTGGATGAACCATTTGACAGTTTTAATTACAAGCCATATATCTCTCTCTCTTTTCATTAAAGAGTTTCCTCGTGTCGGTGCAACTAATTCTATCATATAACTAAATAACTTTTTCCTCGCCAAAATAATAAGCAACTGCATCAAGATGAAATTGAAATCATTAGCACTAATTTGAGGGACTATTCTATCAACTTAAAACTTTCTCCAAAGAAAAATAGATCGAAATACGCTAAAAAATATTTCAGGAGCGTCCACCTTTCAAATGATATGGAGCCAATACGAAAATAAACCCGATCAGTGTTAACCATTTAATTTTTTAAAAAGTTGTGTCTACAAGAAACAATTGAATACAACAGGTACAATAAAATTTTCGCTCTGAATCGTGTTTTACCATTTGTTAAAACAAGTGTTTTCTAGGATACTGTTCTTGTGGTAAAATACATGAGAGACATACTTTTATACGTAAATTGAGCTGAAATGATGATGATGGTGATGATAAATATTTTATTTTGGTCCAATCTACTTAACAACTATTGCATTGTTGGCCTTTTAAATGTTATTTTACAACATATTGCTCTGCAAGCAAAGAAGAACAACAACTTTAATCATCATTGTTAGATAACTTATATGGGACGAACACAAGATCGAAAGAAAGAACTATCAAAACCGGCACAAAAGAATTGACAAGAATCTTCTTTATTGCGACGCAACATGGCTACAAATTTCCTATTAATTCAATTAATCTGACTTCTTTTTTAGAACAATAAATTTACAATTTAAAATAATCGATACATCTTTTGATAAATTTCCTATTTATTACTGAAGGGAAAAAATATAATAATCAATAGAATTTAGCAGATTATATCAACCATAAAAAACTGCCAAATGAATCAATACAATAAAAACACAATTTTTTTTTTTTAAATGTTAGAAGCTGAATAAAATTCTATAATTGAATAGTAATTAGATAATTATGAGATACAGCATAATAACTTTATGCAATGGTCTCTCCTTTTAAATGTTATTTTACAACATATTACCTGCAAGCACGAAGAACAACAATAATCATCATTGTTTTTTTAGATTAAAATGGTATGGGACGAACACAACGATGCGAAAAAGAACTATCAAAACCGATATAAAAGAATGAAAACATCTTCCCATCATGATGAATTCATCAGGAATTAACCATGATAGTTTCACGAAGAATTCAATTAATCTGCCTTCTTTATATTGCTTAATAAATTTACAATTTAAAATTGATCGATACATCTTTTTTACCAATCTCCCATTTATTACTTGTTGGCCGTAATATAATACAATAGAATAGCAGATAAGTACCTACATAAAAAAGAAACTAGAATCAATACAATAAAAACACAATTCTTTCATTCTATTTGTTACCTATCATGATGAATTCATCTAAAATTAATAATTGAATAGTTTAGATAACCACGAGATCGACATGGTTGGGTATATGGTCTCTCCATGGGATTCTCAGTTCCATTACGAACAATCCAGATACAGATAGTTTTGTTTTATTGGGTGATAATGAAATAGTCACCTCGCCTGCGCTATCGGTATACGCTGGCGGGGTACCAATGAGGGATTATAGATGACGATGAAAGCAGGTCAGTTAGCCCATCATGACGAATTGCACTAGAATTAATCACGATGGTTTCCAGGGCGAACCACGTGGAGGTCAACCTGATAGGGGGTATTGTTAGCAATGAGGCAGTTAGACCCCATTACTAACAATCCTTTTCCCCCCAGATACAGGTAGTTAGTAAAGACAGTTATGGATAGACAGACAAATAATTTTGTTTGAACCTATTTTCATTTGATCATTCTCGACTAATTAAGTAGGTCAACAAAGATAAATTAAAATTATTTGTTTAGCGATAAGATATAAATATTTTCAAACATTTTACAAATTACTTGAAGACCGCGGTATTACCTGCGTGGATCGGAATAAGAATTAAAGCTATTTTAATCCAGTACAATATACTAATAGGATTCCTTATACAACATTCTTCTACTTCAGCATATCTGTTTGTGTCGCTAAGTAGCTTCCATGGCTGTATATAGAATTAAAAGGGACATAGCAGTAAAATTACAGGATATAGAACTATAATATCTAAAAACACCTTATTTATACCAAAACCATACATACATAAATATCTGTCACGTCAGTCTCCCATTAAGGTAGAAACAATGGAAACAATGGAACGCCAAATGCTTCGATTGGAACAAGCCTCTTTCGCTTCCTATGAATACGGAATTCATCATAAACCATTTACAAAGCTAAATTAACTCTTTGAAGATTTTTATAACTTTCCTTAAAATTGAGAATGAAAAGGAAAAATTGAGAAAGAAAGCATAAGAAAAAGATAAAACACTTGAATAGAAAAAATAAGCTTATCAATCAGCAGGACAGAAACCATAATTAAGTGAATTCGAAAAGGCGAATCTGCCTAATTTTCTTGGAGTCTTTTGTTTTAAGGTAGGGCATTCTCTCAATACCCCCTCATAGCTACAGCCATGTAAATAGGCTAGTAGTATTTAAGATTTATATGTTTGTTTATTTTTAGAAGAAAGTAAACCAATAAATAAGCCAATATTACTTTAAAAACATACAATAATATAACCACTAACTGGTCACTACATAACCATTAACACCACAACTCTAGAAACAATATTTTCTAATACGAGTTTGTGGTTTTCCTTGAATTCTAAAATCATTACATAATAAAACATAGACTTACGGTTAGTCTTTACACACGACTTCGCATGATATATTTTAAGTTCTATAATCTCGTTAAGGGTTGTCACACTGGTGATTCGCCCACTATAAGGGTTAGGAGTGCGAGATTGTAGTGTACGACTATTTTATACAAAGAACAATAAAAACAAGGTGAAAACCCTTCATCAGACGCGAATGCAGTTTTCATATATTTAACGGGCTAGATCCTTTACAACACCAGTTTTACCACCTTACGAGTAAATTTTTTTACATTCTTTTCTTACTGTTCACCTACGCTATATAAAGAACCTATCTGCAATAAGTATTTCAATACTTTAGATTCAACGGTTTCGGCTGTGCGTTGATATAAGGAACAGTCAGTCAGTCACTTAACATCCTATTTTATATATACTCGTTTAGATTAAAACGCGGAATCATTTGTATCTGCAAACAGATTTTAGCATCGTATCATCAAAACATTTATATGGGAACAATACGTGAGTACGACTGTAAAGAGTAATTAAAATCGGTTTAGAATTCGCAAAAACATTAAATAACACAAATAAGCTTAGGTATGGCAATGAAATTACAGGGTACAGAGGAATAACACCTAAGTCCTAAGGAATGGTAACGCCCGAGGGCCTGATATACAACACAGTATCCTCTATTATGTCCATGGTACTGTTCGTGTCCTTAGGCGACGATTTCCATCAGGTGGGCCGTCAGCTTGTGCGCTATTCGAAGTTATGTAAAAAACCGAAACAGCAAATCTGTCCATTCAGAAACCGTTCAGGAAAATATCAGTAGGAGCGCAAACTATGATTCCTAAAACAAAAGATTTTGCAAACAATGGTAGGTGTAGGTATATTTAATCATCTAATATAACAAAAATGTATCACCATATGCTGTCACTTACATACAATCCATCAGAATAATGTACATATGTAACAAAAGACTCAATTAGTCATGAGGAGGCTCGCGAGTTGAGTAAGACCAAACAGAGATATTTCGATGTAGGTATACACTGAGTTATTATAATTCAAACCAAGGTTTAAATCAGGGTTTTATGGGATGAAAACAAAACTGTAACCCCGTCTGCTCCATCAATATATGGTGGCATAGATCAATTGATTTGGGCCAATTGGCCCAACATGACCAATTAATCATGACGGTTTCCAGAGGGGACCACGCGAATGTCGATCTGACAGGTAACCAGCAATATAAGTCCCTTTTACAGAGCAGATAAAGAAACCAAGTGCGAAGAACTTTATACGACTATCCATAGACTAGAATTACATTTCTTTCATGACACATAAATAAATATTACTAAACACACCTACGAGTACTTTACAATTTAATTGCCTACTTGTGTTATAAAGAGTGTATAATGTTACGCAAATTTTAGTTAATACTGCCATCTACCTGACATTTACTGAATTATAAAGACTATACTCGACTGATCATCTAGACTGGATAATAACAAAAATGAATTACTTTTATTCTGTATATATGAATTAAAATCAATGATTTATTAAATATCATTATATTTAATAAATCATTGATTTTAATTCGTTTAATACTGGTTTTTGTATTTCTTAGTTATAGGCTCATTGCTAATATGTGAAGTCAAGTCGATCTTCACACTCTCTCCCTGGAAGCCAATGTGATTATTTCCTACATGCATGATGCATGCAGCATCTCGTATGCAGTAAGAAATAATCACATTGGTTTCCATGACCCAACTGTTACCATTCTTCTTTATATCAAAAATAGACAAATATTTCTTATTTTACAGACTTTTAGCTCAATATTCTATAATTATATTGAAATATAATTATAGAATATTGAGTTCCACAGAAAACGTGTTTTTGCCATAACTAAACTTCAGTTATGGCAAAAACACGTTTTCTCCCACAAACACTCAGGTTATGGAATGAGCTCCCTGCCGAGGTTTTCCCCAGAGGCTACAGCATGGGGTTCTTCAAAAAGTTTCTTCAGAGTCGGCAATGTGCGCGTAATACCTCTGGTATTGCAGGCGTTCATAGGCTACGGTAACAGCTTACCATCAAGTGGGCCTTATGCTTGTTTGCCACCTCAGTGGTATAAAAAAAAAAAACAGTTATTTTTATTTAAAAAATAAACTTCTAAACCATTTTTAATAAAATTTCTATGTAAACATTCTACCAATCTAAAAGTACATTCTTTCAAATAAAAAAAGAATTTTCCAAATTAATTTATTAATGTCAAAAAAAAAGAAACAACGGAATTGAGACCCTCCTTTTTTGAAGACTGATGACAAAAAGAGATTTCATTAATAAATTTTACTTATAGTGGTCAAACAATAAAATAAATTGCGTTAGTTATACGTGAATATTGTCATTGTTGACATATTTAACATATTTCATTACAATTCTCACTGTTATTATCTATCGCCAAGAGCGTGCTAGTCAAAACTATCCACTAAACAATTTATTTATTGTTTCCAGGGAGAACCGCATGGAGGTCGATCTGAGAGGGTACATTGCTAGCAATGGGGCTGTTAGACCCAATTACTAACAGTCCCTTTCCCCCCACCCCTTACAAACCTATTTTAACTATTAGAGTGTTATGTCACTGTCTTTCATCAACTTAAACTTAGGTACCTTTTGTCCCTGTTGAAATTCGAATGGAACAGAGGTACCCAAGCAAACGACTTTTGTACAAAGAGTGCCTCTGGTAAATGAATATATAAATGAATATAAATACATACATCTACAGTCGGCCCCGAAGTTGATGATAGTTGATGGGGTGCTTGCCCCTGTGCAGCTGAGAGAAGCCATGTTGCTGCAAATGCCCCAAACGCTAGCCATGCTGTCCATCTATGTAGCATCTTGAAACTGTAAAACACACATGTTATGGTACAGTTAAATGTTTAATATTGAACAAATATTTAATAATATGGAAAATAGAGAAAACTAATAGTATTTATTACTTGAAGGAGACTACACACTGTCTGCATGGGTATGTTTATCCCATTACAAGTTTTTACTGTCAAACAACTGTACATGCATGGATGTATTTCAATTTCACCATTAACATTATTTATGTTAATAATCATATTACAAAATACAGAGATATAACATCTTAGTCCCTAGAAATGGCTATGCATGAGAAACACAATATATTCTGTGATATTCATATATAAAGGTGAACTTTTCATTATGTGGACCATCAGTTTATCCATCATTCTAAATTGTATAAATATCTCAAACATTGGCATATTTGAAATTATTTTCCAGGATCCTGACCAGGACAAACGTGCTTATGTAGCCTCAGACATTTCTGTGAAACTTCACTTATATCCTAAAATGGGCATGAGATGATTTTTAAGGTGGGCATGGCAACTCAAATAATTTTAAATTTTTGTAATACATGAAAAACAAATCTTGGCAAAATTACTACAGAATCTATGGGAACAATATAATTAAAAATGAATGCTGTGTGTGTGTGTGCATTTTTTTAATTACAATCCAATTCCACATGAAATAGTCTAATAGATACTTTTTATGAAGTCAGTTAAAAATAAATAAATATTGTCTTAAAATTAGTAAAAACCTTATTTATACTAAGTACCTACTGACCAAATCATATATTTTTCATCATAAAATACCTATTTTTTGTTAAAGTACAAGACATCTCAAATATTATATATAACAACTGTTATATAATAGAGATGTTACATTATTATATATATATATATATATATATATATATATATATATATATATATATATATATATATATATATATATATATATATAAATTACAATATATTTTTGAAAACTATATATTATTAATATAGAGCAAGTACTTTAATATTAACATAGATATAGCTAGATACTGTAATAATATGTATGTTGCATATGCATAAATACATTTTCATCACATCTGTGTATATGACTGTCATCATAACAATAAATTGTAAACAATATCTATAAGATATTGAATTGATAGAACAGTACTTGTGGATTCATATGGACTAAGAAGTAAATTTATAATTATATTATATTCTAGTTATAATATTATTATTTAATGGACCAAAAAAGTCCCAAATAAAAATTAATATTATTACAATATTAGAAATTCAGCTTTTTTATAAAGGATACCAAGTGAAATTTTGTTTTTTATATAATATGCATTACTAAATCCCAGTTTTTATTCATATAAACAATATATAAGATTTTTTATGCAACTTACAATGTCAAACAAGCTAATTAGAGTAACTTTTTGATCTGTTCAACTAGGCATATAGATGATCTTACATATCACAGAAACAAAAAACCTTAATTAATATATAAAATAAACAAATATTTTAATTCAAATGAACTTAATTTTAAGTATTTTTGAATAGTTATTCTTTACAATTCTACTGTGCATTTGGCAAACTCTTTTCAAAAACTTGAATTTTATAAATTATGAATATAATTGAATACAAATTACTAACCAGTATCAGATCATAGAAATTAAGATCTAAATAACATTACAATAAATTTACAAAATAAATCAGTTGCAGTGCCCAGAGCAGACCAGATCTAGGGACAGCGCCTGTTCAAGAGTATGACAGATAAGTCAGCCATCATATTTAATCATAATTAAACGCAATTTCAAAACCCCATAAAATCATTATGAGAAATAATAAGTTTTTAATTGGATATTTCCCATAGACAACATACAATTAGATAAGACATTAGAAAGGAGCTCTGCAGTCAGTTTTAGGCAATTTTTATATACACATAAAAATAAACATATATTTACTTGCTAATAAACTAAGGAATCCTTCCAATAAGGAGAAGGATAAGAATTATAATCAATATTGACAATACTAAGTACATAACATGATAAAACACTTGCGAATAGCCAATGCAATTTAAACAGGCAAGTACCAGTCCAAGATTAGAATTGTTATCATTACAATTATATAGGTGATTATAACATATATATATAACTCAGTGAATAAATACCTTAACAATTTAATTAATTAAACTGGCAGATTTATCGTGTTTTATAAGTAATTCGTGTAACATAGGCCATGAAACGTCACCGGTGAATGGAATGGTGAATGCCAACTTACTTTGCAAAAACGTTATTCTTGAATGCACAAGATGGAAACTATAAAAGATTGCTATAACAATTGTGTTATAACATTACGTTTAACCAATTGAAATACAAAACATAATACAAATTAAAATATAAAAGAAATGCACATTTAATTTAGAAGGAAAATCAAATCACCTTAGTCGTGGTGAATTGTGGTTAACTGTCAGTCAGAGTTCTATCTTATTCAAAATTGACGTTGACAAATAAATTTCAAAAATTAAAAATGTAGATAATGGCCTGCATAAATGATTAATACAGTAAGTTATATTCATATTCCACTTGTACGACAAAGAAAACGAAACAAGTCTGTCTTATAAAAAGAAATTGTTTATTTATGCAAAAAGATAGGTTTACAACTAAAGTAATAAAAGTGCGTAGTATTGAATTTATGTCTAAAAAAAACATGGCATGTCTAGTACATCGGCAATATAGGTTTTTTGGTATTAAAGTAAATTGGTATCTAAGCGTTATAGAAAGAATTCTAACCCGAATTTTCGATTTCAGCTAACAATCAACTCAAGTATTTATATTAAAGTATGATTACTTTAATTGATTACTTTTTAATACTATATATTTATAATAGTTTTTTATAATAATATTGAAAAAAAAAACATGAAATGATGAGAGAGAATCGAAAAATTTTGACGACAGGATTATTATTCGAATACATGTTTCCGAATATCGTTTACTCAAATTTTGTATATCGATCAGATATTAAATATACTAAATATAATGTACTTGTAGTACATGAGTACCTATTTATTAGAGATCAGAGTCAGTATTTCAATCTGCTGACTGGGTACATCACTAGTTATGTCATCCATTGCGAAGTTTGATGTCATACCTATCTACTTATTTAATATTTATACTTTCTTATTTACTTTCTTTTAAAATTTTCAGACTAAAAGAGATATTCCAACCAAGGAGTGTAATCCTTCTATCCGTATATTTTAAAACTTACATTTAGAGGAAGATTCCTGAATTCAGGAGATCCTGGTTAATTAGTGGTTTATCATAACCAAAAATATCAAAATGCCGTTAGATTATAGAAGATTTAATGGACCAGAAGATAGTATACCATATAAACGTTTTACAAAGCAATATTTTAAAACTTATGAACAACTTCGAGACGATTTAATAAACGACAAAGGCCTAAGACAAGACGGCCGTACTCTTGACGAAGCAAGGAGCATGTGTATGTTTTGTATGTGTTTTTGTTTTTTTTTAAGGTCTTCCAAACTTTTTTCAAAAGGTCTAATTAAATTTTTTTTCTTCAACCCAAAGTCCCAGGAATTTTAATGTTCATGTTAAAATAATTTTATTTTGACAGATTTGAGAATATGAATTCTTTTAGTTAAAATATAGTTTAATGCCTATGTACTACTTTTGCATAATGCATATCTTAAGTATGTAGGTCTAATGTCTTAGTAACATGAAATTTTACTAGGACTACTAAAGTATTTCCTGATATTCCTACAGTTGTATATAAAGTAAGTTGTATGTATACAAATGAAATACTAGTTTATGATAAAAAAATCACTATACACTATATCACACATCATCTAATCCCAAACTAAGTAGAGCTACAATATAGCTTATGGTGACTGATAGAATACCAATTATAATAATAATAGATGCATACAAAATAGGTGGTATTATGTATTATATATTAATTATATATGATAAACTTTAATTACAGTTGCAAGAACTGATATGGTGTCACAAGCAAAAGGATCATCTTATGTTGAATTGAAGAAAACAAAAGTAGCATGCTCTGTATTTGATCCTAGAGAGATACCACATCAGAATGAATTCAGGTTTGTAAAATTAATATTTACAATAGATTAATTTTGATTGAATTTTAAATTACATTTCTGTTTTTACTAAAACAAAGTATAAAAATGTTAGTCATTGACATAAACTGTATTAGAAATAGATCCATGTTGTGCCAGTTGTGGTACAGCATTATTATGTAATTAATAGTACTTCCTTTTTCAACTATAGCCAACTTGGTCAGCTATATTGTGAAGTAAAATTTGCACCTTTCTCATGCCCTCGGAAACGACGGCCATATGCACCTGATTCTGAAGAGAGGGCTCTTTCAGTTGCATTAAGACAAGCACTAGAGCCAACTGTATGCAGGCATTTGTTTCCTAACTATCAGGTACCTTTTTTTATTCTATTAATCAACTAAATTCAGTGCTATCAGTTAATCAAAATAATTAAGAAATAACATTATGAATGAAAGTGTACACTGATACCATCTACTTATATATCTAGCGTATCTATCTGGTCACAGTACATAAAAAACATGTATCTGTAGTTTGCACTTGCTTATGTGACCAATTATTTATAAGCCATGGTAACTCAATTTGCTTAATAAACAATTTAAAAAAATCCTTCATTTAAATGAAATAAACAAAATATGGTAACTATTGCCATACATCACTGCATAAAGAGATTCTTTATGATAGTACATCTGTGTTTTTATTCTTAAGAACTAATGTGTTGTGCCTCCACATAATAATTTTACTACCATAACCCATCCTTCAAACCAATGACAATAACATGCAAGTGAAGCTGCTTTATAGCAGGAATATGAAATCTACCGAAGTTCCCAAGCAAATAGCATAGAGTATGCCTAAGCCTACCTATATGTAATAAATATCATCTTTTTCAAATAACATTATAATATTCCAGATTGATGTCTTCGTATACATATTAGAACATGATGGTGCATGTTTAGCAGCAGCCATAAATGCAGCAGGTCTAGCATTAGCCAATGCAGCTGTGCCCATGTATGACATAATTACATCATGTTCTGTGGCAGTTCTTGGTGACAAAATGTTCATTGATCCTACAGAAGCAGAAGAACATGTAGCAACTACAAGTCTAGAAAGTGATGCAAATCATGGTATCATAACCATGTCAATGTTATCTGGACTAAAACAAATATCAGACTTCACTCAAATAGGATCTATGGGTATGGACTGCGTTACAAAAGCAATGGACATACTAGAAAGGGAATGTGAAAAACTTGTACCTTATATACAAAAAGTTCTTGTTACAAATGTTATCCAAGGATTTGAGCAACAAAAGGTGCTTGAAGAAGAAGCTAAGGAAAGAGAAAAAGCATTGGATGCTAAAATGGAGGAATGGAAAGCCTTATTAAAAGCTGGATGATGAATATGTTGTTTTATTATTATTACTTAATTGTAATTATAGATTAGTAGCTGAAAATAATATTTCTCTGAATCTAAAATTTGTTAGGCACTATTTTCTTAGATAAAATAACCTAAATATATGTATATGCCATATAAATGTTCCATGCTATAGGAAAAACCTTTAATCTTTCTTCCTATAATTTGTTGGTAGTTTCATGCATAAGTTATGATTCACAAACATAGATGGACAGGGAATAAAATTATTAAGACTTTTAGACATTTAGTAAGTGATGAAAAACTTTTAATGATGATTATTAATAGTTTATAAAGGTAAACGGCTTACAAGTAGAATGGAAAATGATAAAAAAATAATGATTAATAAAATAATAATGTACAAGTCTTGCTTAGTTTAGAGGCAATTGAAGATTAAAATTAGCAGAAGGCAACTGCCCTCTTTCATATCAGCATACAATAAATTCACTCTAATCTGCTTTATAAAAAAACCTAATGTAAAGGTAGTTAAATAACTGTACATTCTTATTAAAAAAACTTAGAACTTATAAGCTAAATTTATTGTCACAAATTTTACATTAGAAAATTAGTCTTCGGGTTTTTCTGGCGGTGGGCCGCATGGTTGTAGCATCCTCTCCATTAAATTAAACTTCACTCGAGCTTTGGACTCGTTCTCAACGATTGCAAAGTAACTCAACAAATCTGGGTGTCCCATGTAACTGCAGCATGAATCTCGGTGTTGGTTCGTTAGCCACTCATATTTGGTAGTATCGGCGTGACCTGTGCCAATGTATTTGCTTTGAAGATGCTCTAGTTGACTGTGAATGTTGTACCGCTCACCCATTTTACTAAAAACAAGTGTTTGGTTATGAATAATAAATTTAAAAGAAAATGCAGAATAAATAAAAGGTAAAATTTACATTATATTTCACTCTTTAGTAAATGGAAGTATTTATTTTTATTTTTTGTTTCAAATTACAATAAAAAACAAAAAGGTATGAAGTAAGGCGTTTTTTCTAATTTATATGATTGCCACCGCTGTCGGTGTTATTTCCTTTTTTTTTTTTTTTTTTTTTTTTTTAGTACGTTTGTTCCGTTTGGAACAGGCTAAGGTCGGAGACCATGCTGCCTAGTCTTCAAAAAGATAATTTGTCTGGAATTTTATTTTTCTAATGTCGCTTCAATTATTGTCATAATCTTCAATATTTCATTTGTCAAATCCGGTAAGTACATTTTCATAAATATCTTTTCTTGAGTTTTCTTAAACCAGTGGATTTATCAAATTAAAAATAAATAATTATAAAAAATCATTGTCTTGCAATTCAATAAAAGTATTCTTATAGCTCCTTGAATGTTGTAGTAATATAAGTGAAAATAGCTTTGAAACAAGAAGGAAATCTTAAGAGAAGCGGGATTGAGTGCGGGATATTTTCGGGTTTTTTGAAGATAATCCTAAGTTCGTCAAACATAATGTGTCTTTGAATGACAAATTCAGAGCAATCAAAAAAAAGGTGATGTAGAGATTGGGCTGTATTTGAGTTACACCATGTGCATGATGGGGAAGCGATCATGCCCATTCGGTGCAGGTGTTCGTTGAAATGTCCGTGGCCGATTCGTAATCTACAAATATTGGTGTAAAATTTTCTGTTTGTGTCCTTTCCTTTGCAGTACCACGGTTTTCCAATACGCCAATTAATTTTGCGGTACCATTTGCCTTTAGTCTGTAATATTTGAGTCCAATGCTCCTCCCATTTAGTTGTAACGATTTTATGTATTCCAATACTACAATCTGAGTAACAAAGGGGTAAATCTTGAACACGAGCAGCACTTGAATTAATAATTTTAGCCAAAGTGTCTACTTGTTCATTCCCAAACACTCCAATATGTGAAGGGGTCCAGATGAAGATAATATCTTTTCCATATATAGTACAGAGATGATAATATTTATTACGAATTTCTTGAATTAAGTAGTTTGATGATGAAATGAATGTGTTATTTTTTAATGCCATAAGAACACTCATACTATCTGTAATTATAATCCATTTCGAATATAGTACCTGTTTTTCTATGTATTCTAATGCTAAAAATATAGCTTTTGCTTCTGCTGTGTAAATACTAGCCAAAGTTGAAATTTTATAACCGTGACCAAATCTATTTGACAAATCGTAAAAAGCCACTGAAGTGCTAAGTGCATTTTTGGAACCATCTGTATATATCTGCCTGTAGTCAATAAATTCTGATAAAGTCTCATACATATCGTGCTTTTCTTTTATGTCTTTACGTATAACAATTTTGATCTTACAGAACTTACTCTCATAAAGGCCATTATAACAAGGAAGTATCTTACTACTATAGATGTTATATTCATCTCGTAAATTCAAATCATTGACAATAGTTTTATTCAAAAACATAGAAATGGGGCAATTTAATAATTTGAGTATGAGTGGGTTATTGGAAACTGAAAAAACTTTGAAGAGAAATTTGAGTTTTAGGTATTCGAAACGAAGAAGGATAGGAGGCAAATTACATTCTACTTGCATTGAGATAATTGGAGAAGTATACATAGCACCTAAAATAAGTCTTAAATTCATATTTTGAATTTTTTCGAGTTTTTCTACTAATTTATGTTCTGAGGCATAACAAAAGAAAGCGTAATCAAAATTACTTCTAACAAGAGATTTGTAAAGTAAAAGGATAATTTTAGGATCAGCTCCCCAGTTACGACCAATTACAGATCTTATTATATTAGTGGCTCTTAAAGCACGATCTACTAAGCAATCAACGTATAGATCCCATTTTAAATTTTGATGAAAAATTACCCCCAGAAATTTAACGCTACAGTCTGTTGGAAGAGTTTGATTATTATATATAATATTCATTAATGGAACATATTTATGAACTTGATGAAAAACAACTACTTTACTTTTGGTTAAACTAATATCGAGGGAAAGAAGAGAAAAATATTTCTCAAGTCTTTTTAATGACTCATTTAACACTAATTGCATATCAATAATATTCTTTCCTTTTATATAAATTAATAAATCATCGGCAAATTGCAAGTTGTTCACACTGTTTCCTAAAATTGAATTAAGTTTATAGATATATAAAATATATAGTAGCGGGCTTAGAATACCACCTTGACATACTCCTTTAGAGCTTAACCTAGGTCCTATTAATTTACTATTTACTTTAACATACACTTCTCTATTACTAAGAAAATTATAAATCCGTTCGATAAGTTTCATTGGAAGAAATGAGGATAAAATCGAAGATAGAACTGTTAAATTTACATTGTTAAAAGCTCCTACGACATCTAAAAAAACAGATAGAACATATTCATCGTTATTCAAAGCAGTACTAAGGTCGACATAGAAGTTCGCTAAACTTTCGCGCGCTGAATATCCACGGCGAAAACCAAATTGATTCGATGGTAATATACTATTACTTTCAATAAAGAACTCTAAACGCTGTTTAATTAATTGTTCGAATAATTTGCCTGCACAGGACGTCAATGTTATAGGTCTATAGGAGTCGAAATTTGTAGGATCTTTACCGGGTTTAATTACTGGAATCAAACAATCCATTTTCCATTCTGGTGGGATAATACAGTCCTTCCATAAATCGTTAAAAATTTGTAAGAGTTTAGTAAGGTTTATTTTATTCAGCAATCGAAACATATTGTATGTTAAGCGATCAAGGCCACTAGCTGTATCTTTTCTAGATTTTACTGCACTGGATATTTCATCAATTGAGAATGGGTCAGTGAGAAATTTTGGGCATGAATTAACAGAATTAAACTGTTTGTCATCAAAAGGTGAGTGTACAAAATCAGGAGTATATTTGCGTAAAAAATCATTGACCCATGATATATCTTTAAAATGATTTTGACGATGTTTTGAATTTAGTTTTCTCATATTTTGCCAAACAGTGGAAATTGGTGTTAATCTATTAAATTTGGAACAAAATTCCTGCCACCCCTGTTGTCTTACTTGCTTAATTACTAACTTTTTAACAGCTTGAACTCTTTTAAAATTTATGTAATTATCGAGAGTTGGATTTTGTTTAAACCTAAGGTAAGCCGCTTTACTATCATTGACAGCTGTCGCACACCTGTTATTCCACCAAGGTACTGCAATATGTTTGTGCCTCTTTGAAGTATTTGCACCGCTATTTGATAAGTTCCTACGTGGAACGGAACGTTCCACAGCTGTCAAAATAATTTTACAGAACCTATTGTAATTGTTTAAGGGTTCATTGACATCATACTCGAAATCCAAAAGTAATCGATTAACAGTTTCAGAATAAAGATCCCAATTAACGAGACGTAGGTTTATACGATTTAACAAAAGTTTATTAACTTCATCTATAGGAGCATGTTGTTCACCTGACGGAGTTGATGAAGAGTTCTTTGTGTTTATTTTAGTAAAAGTCGGCAGGTGATAACTTCCTAACGGATCATCATGAACCGACCACTCGCATTTTAATGATATGGATGGGGATACCATAGTTAAATCAAGGCCATTGGGTCTCCAAATATGAGAGCCAACAGTAGTAACTTGCTTATCATTTAATAGTACCAAATTACATTCATCTAAACAATCAAGAATGTCTTTACCTCTTGTATTAGTGGAGGTACAACCCCACATAGTATGATGTGCATTTAAATCTCCAGATATGATAGTGGGTTTAGGAAGAGACTCCAAAAAGAACTTAAATTTGGCTTTAGTAAAACTAGGTGTACTATTGGTAGGACAGTAAATACTGGCAACTGAATACCAAGAATTATTAACTTCAATACTAATAGCTATAGTTTGCAAAGAATTGTCGAAAAAAGAGTGAAGTTTTTTATATCTAATACTATTATGTATAATAATCGCTACTCCATTGTGGTTATTACCACAATCATTTCGTTCTATACAATAATCTTTAATTTTTAATTTGTAATGTGGTTTTAGCCAAGTTTCTGAGATGAGAGCAATGTGAATATGATGTTCATTTAAAAATTGTGTAAAAATATGTCGATTGCTCAGTAGGCTCTGAGCGTTCCACTGTATGATAGTTAATTGGTCTCGATTGAATTTTGTGAAATAGGTCTATTACCAAAAGTATCATATAACACATTCAAAACACTTTTAGTGTTAATAGATGTGTTCTTTGTGTTATGTAGTGAAATAAGTTTGATTATGCTTTCTATTAAAAGTGATAAACTCTTGTTATCAGAATTTAGAATTGAAATTAGGTCTACATTTTTTTTAGGTTTGTTACCCAGTTTAGGAAATATTTCAGTGCTAAGTATATCTCCAAAAGAAGCAGGTCTGAATTTAGATCTATTTTCAGCAATTTTCTTTTGTTTAACAGGGCATTGCGGTGATACACTTGTGTGATTTCCATTGCAGTGTACACAAATAGCGTTTTCCATTCCAGTTGTACAAGTTTTATAATTATGCTCACCTTTGCAGATGCTGCAGCGCTCAGAATTCTTACAGAATTTAGCTAAATGTCCATACCTCAAGCACCGGTAGCATTGTTTAACTGGTGGTATATATGGAGTGACATTGTGGCGCCAACCTCCAATATCCAGATATTCAGGTAATACAGATGCAGCAAAAGTAATTGTCACGGTTAGAGTTGGCTGTAACACATATCCATGAGTCAAGGTATTTTTTCTTAAAATTCTTTTAATAGCAATAATTTTCTTAGAACTCGATATCATAGTATATATTTTTTTATTAGATATATTTGTAGGTACATTTCTAATAACGCCTGTAACTTCTGTTGAAGAAGCAGGAATACTGGCCTTAAAATGGTAGTCATTTAAAAAAGTTTTATTATTTAAAAAAGCATTGGCTAAGTCTGGCTTTTGAAAGTATACTCCGATTTTGAATTTATTTATAGATCTAAGATAAGTTACCCCTTTATTAAATCGTTTTAAACAGGAGGAGAGTGAGAGCAAGTCTCTGGATCCAATGGTTTTCTGACTATCTGAGGATTCTACAAAGACAACAAATTCTGTCCCAGGGGATTCCTCGGGATATCTTCTAATATAATCTGTGACGTAGTAAGGTTTATACTTATCGGCCTTATCAATTTCAGATTCTGAGTCAGTAGAAGTATCTTCCGAATATATATCCTTGTCATTACAAGGTTCATGGTCTACATCACCTGAATCGTCATCTTTTTTTTTCCTTTTTCTACAACTGCGCTTCCCCATGAATGCTAATTATATTACTGTCGCTGAATTTAGTGAAAATATAATATTTTATTCAATAATAAGAATTGATAGAGATAGTTTTAATAAATTAATAAAAAAAATTTAAAAAACCCGCTTGTTCTTATTCGAGTTTCCCGCCTTTTTTCACTGGCCCTTGTTTGCTTTTTTTTTTTTTTTTTTTAGTACGTTTGTTCCGTTTGGAACAGGCTAAGGTCGGAGACCATGCTGCCTAGTCTTCAAAAAGATAATTTGTCTGGAATCAAAATTAAATGTCCCTTGTTTGCCGTTTTTGACAGCAATGCGTCAATTGTTTGTCAGTCAAGGATTAATCATTTGACATTATGGGAATAAAAATGAAAAATATTTTCTAGCCATTCATTGAATACAAATAAATTGGCCGAAATAAACATTTCAATTTAATAATTTCAATTATTAAATAAACTAATATTAAACAATATTATAAGAGTGTCAGAGAGAACATTTCTTTGTCATCGATTCAGGTCATAGACTAAGTAACAGTGGTAGATAAAGTGCTTTTTTTAAATTGTTGTTTAATCAATATCGTCGTCATCGTACAACGAATTTCCAAAATTCATAATTTAAAACGCTGTAAAATTATGGAAAATGCAATAATTCAATTAGAAAACGAAGACAGTTTAAGGAAACAAGCAAGAAGAATCGTAAGACATAAAATTAGAGAAACTTTCAAAAAACCAACGCATCTATTTATGCATGAGAAATGTCTAACTGAAATCGTAAGGCTAAAATGTTTAATCTTAATAAATATATTTTTTTCAAAAAATAAAAGAACTTTATACCTAAATTTACTAACAAATTACTTCTGTTAGTACTGAGAAGGTAGTCAGAGACATTTGTGTGACTATTATCTTGTGGTGGACTAAGTCGATATAGCTACATTTCCTAAATCGTTATTGCAATTGTATGTGGTTTGTGTTAACAAACATCAACATCAACATCGTTAGATGTTTTTCATCTTCAGAGTTAGGAATTTAAATTAGTACTGTGCTTTTGGTATTGGCTAGTTGCAACTAACTAAATCGTTGGAATTTATATAAGTTGGGGCAGCAAGTTAGATCACGCATATAATTTTTTGTTTCAAAAGTAAGTATGTACATTATATCACAGTACAAAATTATAAACAGTTTTTCGTTTCAGTCTAAACCGAAAAATGGAAATTATATTATCTACGCTTACTACCACAACAACCATATTACGAAAATAGAAAATCTGGATTTACTCTATAATTTGACCCATTTACATTTACAATGGAATAATATAGAAAAAATTGAGGGCTTAGAAAAATTGTGTAAATTGAAAAAATTGTACTTGGGTAATAATCGGATTAGTGTTGTGGAAAATTTACAGAGTAATAAGTATTTAGAGGAATTACATATTGAGAAACAAGATATACATAGTTCTGATGGTTTGTGTTTTGATCCGAGAACTATTATGTCTCTTGGGGTAAGTACATATGTAACTAGTTTTTTTTTTTAATACAACAAGATGATGGTTATCTGAGGGAAAGTAGGAAATAGTCCTTGCCTATGGACATAAACATAGGTAAAGACTTCACCAGTGCAGGACGAAACATTGCTAACAATGGGTCTAATCACTACCAAATTTTTTCTACCTGTATCCTCTAGTTCGTTTACAATGAATGAAGATGAAATAGTGCACCTGCTTATGCTAATTGTATATAATAAAAAAAACCATGAAGGATAAAACGACTAGGAGAAGTCAGGTTAACAGATTTATCATAGCAAATTCTAACTTGTAAGCATTTTAAGGACCACGTAGAGGTTAATTAAGTATATTTGAATTTGAAAATGAAGCAACACCAACAATCTCTTCACTGCTTGTATTCCTACTATCAACTATATTTATAGTAGGTATAGTCTGTTGCCCAAAAGGGAAAAGGTCTGATAACAAAGTAACATTCTAATATTTTCAGCCAACTCTTCGAATTTTAAATGTCTCTGAAAATAAAATTACGGATGTGGCTTGGGCAAAACCGCTTCGTAGATTGGAAGTACTCATAGCTAAAAAGAACAATCTGGAAAACTTTCAGGTGAACAAAACAATCAAATTTTATATAATGCAAAACAATTAAAAGGACTGAAAGCTAAAACAAATCTTTACAAAGGAAGCTCTATCATGTTACAACATAAATGATATCAAATAACTATTGGAAATCTACGGATTAAAGCAGATATGAAGTTAATTTACATTAAATTACAATGGCTTCCCATTGGTTGGGTTCACTATGACGACACCTAAATTATTCCACGAGAATCAGAAACAGGAGTTGAGCTCTCACTGAATATGCCAAATTTAATTCAAATCGCATATATGTGATTAAATAGCGTATATTGAAAAGGAATTCCTGTGTTATTTATAATACATATTGCTTTTATTTCATACCCCTCTTGTATAAGTACCTTCATTATCACGCAACAATATATTTACTAATTTGATAATCTGATAGAGCGTGGCTGATGACTTATGCACATTGACTTCCCTGGTTGACTTAAATTTCATTGGAAATCCGATGACGAAGAAACATCGTTACAAAGAAACTATTATTGCAAGATGTGCACAACTTCGTAAGTACTTTGTAACTACCAAAAATAATGAACTCTTCCAATGAAGGCTAAATGCAGATGGCACTAATACATTGCAATCCAATCCTATACTATTGCTGTAAAACGTTTAAAATTCTAAGCTCTTATAAATATATGTCTGATTGTATTAACACATTAAAAGCGGGGAATGTTGACGAAACTATGCTAGGTAACGTGGCGATTTTGCCACTTCTCCATGACAAGTATACTCGTCAATCACAATTAACTGGTTAAGCTACAGTCGAAATAAATCGTATTACTACGACTCCCGTCTTTAAGTTACAGTCGAAATAAATTATAGTACTATGACTCCCGCCTTTAATATGTTAACATTGTCATATTAAATAGCACAAACATGGTGCAAACTATTGTTTAGGTAAAATTAATTGGGCTATTTGAATTTCATAAATTGACATAAACTGAGTTTGTAGGTGTTTTAGATACAATAGTGATCAATAACACGTCAAAAACCTTTCTACAAAGTTTCGTTAAAGCTGTCAAACTGCGTCAGCTTAACGAAAAAAACAAGTTGGATATGAATAAACGTGGAGTTGATGACTTCTTTGAGCTTAACATGTTGCCTGGACCGAGAGCTCAAAGCGCACTTTCTACGAGTATATCTGGGTTCACCAACCAGAAACCTAAAGGTAATAACTCAATCCAAAGTACAAATGTGAGTAGATATTGCCAAAGATAGTACCGCATTCGAGTATTCTGGCACTTCCCTATGATTGACTGGGAGAGAATGCTTTTAGCATTAAGTCCGTCATGTACACATATTTGTACTAATGAATGAATACATCCACATAATTAATATATGTGCTAAGTTAGGGTATATAATACAATTAAACTTGTTAAGTAACTTTTACGTGAAAGAGTAACAAACATTCATCTATTGAGCTTTACAAACTTTGGCACTTATAATATTAATATCAATATACCATTAAAAATTTACACATTAATGGTATTAGTGAGGATTTTTATAAATGTATTTTAGAGTATTGTATAAAGATCTCTGAATTTTTACAGTTTCAGCAATTGATTCTACATACACGTTTATGCCACGTACTTTCTGGCGGTCAAAGCCAACACCATCGCCTCGAGAGACTATTGCTCCGCCAATGGAACCTCCACCGCCCATCAAACAACCTGTGAATGAAACAAACGACATTCCTATTAAAGGAATTTTAAAGAAACCTATGCCAATGAAATATCAATCCTAGAAACTTTTATGTTATAGAAACTTATATGTTATTTTAATATTATTTATATAAAAAGAAAATATAAAATTGTCAATTTTTCCTGGTTATTTTGTATTAATTTAAAGTAGATATTGTAACGATTTTCGAGATTACTATTATCATCATGAATGACGTCTACTCTCAAGGTCTACTCAAGTATAATTTTTTATAATAAAATGTGGTTACATCAGTTATAAAATATATTTCTTGTAGATTTACTCACTACAAAAATGTGCGTACTTGTCTCAAATTACTTGATCATATTAGAGGCCAGTCTCAAATGAAAAAAGCGTTGTAGTTTGTTGTACATATATAATGTTTTGTCAATGGTTATATCATGTTTTAGACAAGAACCTTTCCATTTATAAGAAAAAGCTAACAAATTAAATTTAATATCATCTTATTTTATTTCAAATGAAAATTGCCATTGCAGCAGTTCCAGCTCTGTTACTGACATCTATGTTCTCTATTTTAAAGCGGCAATGTTATTTTCGGGATCAATAGCTAGGAATAAGACTCGGTTATACTATGCGTAGTAAGAGAGGATGATCCTGGAATAAAGAATTTTTTTAGTATGCTATTACTATCTATACTTTGTTTCGATAGAAAATAATGAAAAGCTTGAATAAAATGGTAACAAAGTTTGGCTGAAACCATCTTTGAAACAGAAACGGTCTCTAAATAAAGTCAGTAATAAATCGAAACATCAATTAATTGATTTTTAATATGTTACTGCACATAAACAGACCGTCTTATGGTTGGATCAATCGTTTGTTTAAATTTTATATAAACGATTTATTAAATCTATTACTGAGATACACTGTAACTTCCTTAGATTATTACGGAATACTATGATAACTTCTCTATTGAGGTGTAGTGGAAAGACCTTAGATTAAGAATAATGTCTATAGTGTAAAATACCGTTTGTGTAAAAACCTTTAATGTAAGACTGACAGTAAGATGTTGCTGTCATTCTATCAGTTATAAATGTCGTTGTTAATATCCAACAAACACAAGTCAAAAGGAAGAACAAGCGGGTTTTTTAAATTTTTTTATTAATTTATTAAAACTATCTCTATCAATTCTTATTATTGAATAAAATATTATATTTTCACTAAATTCAGCGACAGTAATATAATTAGCATTCATGGGGAAGCGCAGTTGTAGAAAAAGGAAAAAAAAGATGACGATTCAGGTGATGTAGACCATGAACCTTGTAATGACAAGGATATATATTCGGAAGATACTTCTACTGACTCAGAATCTGAAATTGATAAGGCCGATAAGTATAAACCTTACTACGTCACAGATTATATTAGAAGATATCCCGAGGAATCCCCTGGGACAGAATTTGTTGTCTTTGTAGAATCCTCAGATAGTCAGAAAACCATTGGATCCAGAGACTTGCTCTCACTCTCCTCCTGTTTAAAACGATTTAATAAAGGGGTAACTTATCTTAGATCTATAAATAAATTCAAAATCGGAGTATACTTTCAAAAGCCAGACTTAGCCAATGCTTTTTTAAATAATAAAACTTTTTTAAATGACTACCATTTTAAGGCCAGTATTCCTGCTTCTTCAACAGAAGTTACAGGCGTTATTAGAAATGTACCTACAAATATATCTAATAAAAAAATATATACTATGATATCGAGTTCTAAGAAAATTATTGCTATTAAAAGAATTTTAAGAAAAAATACCTTGACTCATGGATATGTGTTACAGCCAACTCTAACCGTGACAATTACTTTTGCTGCATCTGTATTACCTGAATATCTGGATATTGGAGGTTGGCGCCACAATGTCACTCCATATATACCACCAGTTAAACAATGCTACCGGTGCTTGAGGTATGGACATTTAGCTAAATTCTGTAAGAATTCTGAGCGCTGCAGCATCTGCAAAGGTGAGCATAATTATAAAACTTGTACAACTGGAATGGAAAACGCTATTTGTGTACACTGCAATGGAAATCACACAAGTGTATCACCGCAATGCCCTGTTAAACAAAAGAAAATTGCTGAAAATAGATCTAAATTCAGACCTGCTTCTTTTGGAGATATACTTAGCACTGAAATATTTCCTAAACTGGGTAACAAACCTAAAAAAAATGTAGACCTAATTTCAATTCTAAATTCTGATAACAAGAGTTTATCACTTTTAATAGAAAGCATAATCAAACTTATTTCACTACATAACACAAAGAACACATCTATTAACACTAAAAGTGTTTTGAATGTGTTATATGATACTTTTGGTAATAGACCTATTTCACAAAATTCAATCGAGACCAATTAACTATCATACAGTGGAACGCTCAGAGCCTACTGAGCAATCGACATATTTTTACACAATTTTTAAACGAACATCATATTCACATTGCTCTCATCTCAGAAACTTGGCTAAAACCACATTACAAATTAAAAATTAAAGATTATTGTATAGAACGAAATGATTGTGGTAATAACCACAATGGAGTAGCGATTATTATACATAATAGTATTAGATATAAAAAACTTCACTCTTTTTTCGACAATTCTTTGCAAACTATAGCTATTAGTATTGAAGTTAATAATTCTTGGTATTCAGTTGCCAGTATTTACTGTCCTACCAATAGTACACCTAGTTTTACTAAAGCCAAATTTAAGTTCTTTTTGGAGTCTCTTCCTAAACCCACTATCATATCTGGAGATTTAAATGCACATCATACTATGTGGGGTTGTACCTCCACTAATACAAGAGGTAAAGACATTCTTGATTGTTTAGATGAATGTAATTTGGTACTATTAAATGATAAGCAAGTTACTACTGTTGGCTCTCATATTTGGAGACCCAATGGCCTTGATTTAACTATGGTATCCCCATCCATATCATTAAAATGCGAGTGGTCGGTTCATGATGATCCGTTAGGAAGTTATCACCTGCCGACTTTTACTAAAATAAACACAAAGAACTCTTCATCAACTCCGTCAGGTGAACAACATGCTCCTATAGATGAAGTTAATAAACTTTTGTTAAATCGTATAAACCTACGTCTCGTTAATTGGGATCTTTATTCTGAAACTGTTAATCGATTACTTTTGGATTTCGAGTATGATGTCAATGAACCCTTAAACAATTACAATAGGTTCTGTAAAATTATTTTGACAGCTGTGGAACGTTCCGTTCCACGTAGGAACTTATCAAATAGCGGTGCAAATACTTCAAAGAGGCACAAACATATTGCAGTACCTTGGTGGAATAACAGGTGTGCGACAGCTGTCAATGATAGTAAAGCGGCTTACCTTAGGTTTAAACAAAATCCAACTCTCGATAATTACATAAATTTTAAAAGAGTTCAAGCTGTTAAAAAGTTAGTAATTAAGCAAGTAAGACAACAGGGGTGGCAGGAATTTTGTTCCAAATTTAATAGATTAACACCAATTTCCACTGTTTGGCAAAATATGAGAAAACTAAATTCAAAACATCGTCAAAATCATTTTAAAGATATATCATGGGTCAATGATTTTTTACGCAAATATACTCCTGATTTTGTACACTCACCTTTTGATGACAAACAGTTTAATTCTGTTAATTCATGCCCAAAATTTCTCACTGACCCATTCTCAATTGATGAAATATCCAGTGCAGTAAAATCTAGAAAAGATACAGCTAGTGGCCTTGATCGCTTAACATACAATATGTTTCGATTGCTGAATAAAATAAACCTTACTAAACTCTTACAAATTTTTAACGATTTATGGAAGGACTGTATTATCCCACCAGAATGGAAAATGGATTGTTTGATTCCAGTAATTAAACCCGGTAAAGATCCTACAAATTTCGACTCCTATAGACCTATAACATTGACGTCCTGTGCAGGCAAATTATTCGAACAATTAATTAAACAGCGTTTAGAGTTCTTTATTGAAAGTAATAGTATATTACCATCGAATCAATTTGGTTTTCGCCGTGGATATTCAGCGCGCGAAAGTTTAGCGAACTTCTATGTCGACCTTAGTACTGCTTTGAATAACGATGAATATGTTCTATCTGTTTTTTTAGATGTCGTAGGAGCTTTTAACAATGTAAATTTAACAGTTCTATCTTCGATTTTATCCTCATTTCTTCCAATGAAACTTATCGAACGGATTTATAATTTTCTTAGTAATAGAGAAGTGTATGTTAAAGTAAATAGTAAATTAATAGGACCTAGGTTAAGCTCTAAAGGAGTATGTCAAGGTGGTATTCTAAGCCCGCTACTATATATTTTATATATCTATAAACTTAATTCAATTTTAGGAAACAGTGTGAACAACTTGCAATTTGCCGATGATTTATTAATTTATATAAAAGGAAAGAATATTATTGATATGCAATTAGTGTTAAATGAGTCATTAAAAAGACTTGAGAAATATTTTTCTCTTCTTTCCCTCGATATTAGTTTAACCAAAAGTAAAGTAGTTGTTTTTCATCAAGTTCATAAATATGTTCCATTAATGAATATTATATATAATAATCAAACTCTTCCAACAGACTGTAGCGTTAAATTTCTGGGGGTAATTTTTCATCAAAATTTAAAATGGGATCTATACGTTGATTGCTTAGTAGATCGTGCTTTAAGAGCCACTAATATAATAAGATCTGTAATTGGTCGTAACTGGGGAGCTGATCCTAAAATTATCCTTTTACTTTACAAATCTCTTGTTAGAAGTAATTTTGATTACGCTTTCTTTTGTTATGCCTCAGAACATAAATTAGTAGAAAAACTCGAAAAAAATTCAAAATATGAATTTAAGACTTATTTTAGGTGCTATGTATACTTCTCCAATTATCTCAATGCAAGTAGAATGTAATTTGCCTCCTATCCTTCTTCGTTTCGAATACCTAAAACTCAAATTTCTCTTCAAAGTTTTTTCAGTTTCCAATAACCCACTCATACTCAAATTATTAAATTGCCCCATTTCTATGTTTTTGAATAAAACTATTGTCAATGATTTGAATTTACGAGATGAATATAACATCTATAGTAGTAAGATACTTCCTTGTTATAATGGCCTTTATGAGAGTAAGTTCTGTAAGATCAAAATTGTTATACGTAAAGACATAAAAGAAAAGCACGATATGTATGAGACTTTATCAGAATTTATTGACTACAGGCAGATATATACAGATGGTTCCAAAAATGCACTTAGCACTTCAGTGGCTTTTTACGATTTGTCAAATAGATTTGGTCACGGTTATAAAATTTCAACTTTGGCTAGTATTTACACAGCAGAAGCAAAAGCTATATTTTTAGCATTAGAATACATAGCAAAACAGGTACTATATTCGAAATGGATTATAATTACAGATAGTATGAGTGTTCTTATGGCATTAAAAAATAACACATTCATTTCATCATCAAACTACTTAATTCAAGAAATTCGTAATAAATATTATCATCTCTGTACTATATATGGAAAAGATATTATCTTCATCTGGACCCTTTCACATATTGGAGTGTTTGGGAATGAACAAGTAGACACTTTGGCTAAAATTATTAATTCAAGTGCTGCTCGTGTTCAAGATTTACCCCTTTGTTACTCAGATTGTAGTATTGGAATACATAAAATCGTTACAACTAAATGGGAGGAGCATTGGACTCAAATATTACAGACTAAAGGCAAATGGTACCGCAAAATTAATTGGCGTATTGGAAAACCGTGGTACTGCAAAGGAAAGGACACAAACAGAAAATTTTACACCAATATTTGTAGATTACGAATCGGCCACGGACATTTCAACGAACACCTGCACCGAATGGGCATGATCGCTTCCCCATCATGCACATGGTGTAACTCAAATACAGCCCAATCTCTACATCACCTTTTTTTTGATTGCTCTGAATTTGTCATTCAAAGACACATTATGTTTGACGAACTTAGGATTATCTTCAAAAAACCCGAAAATATCCCGCACTCAATCCCGCTTCTCTTAAGATTTCCTTCTTGTTTCAAAGCTATTTTCACTTATATTACTACAACATTCAAGGAGCTATAAGAATACTTTTATTGAATTGCAAGACAATGATTTTTTATAATTATTTATTTTTAATTTGATAAATCCACTGGTTTAAGAAAACTCAAGAAAAGATATTTATGAAAATGTACTTACCGGATTTGACAAATGAAATATTGAAGATTATGACAATAATTGAAGCGACATTAGAAAAATAAAATTCCAGACAAATTATCTTTTTGAAGACTAGGCAGCATGGTCTCCGACCTTAGCCTGTTCCAAACGGAACAAACGTACTAAAAAAAAAAAAAAACAAGTCAAAAGGTTATATTTACAAAATTATTATTGTTTACTGATTTCAAATATTTTTTTATTTTTATTACAATATTTATGATTCTTTTTTAAAATTATGTATGAAGTAATAGCTGAAGCTTTTAAAATATTGAACAAGGAGTCATCAGGTGTGATATTAATTTTATAAAGAAACTTTGTTAATAGTTAAGCACTAGACTTTTAGATCAGACCTTTATCGCTTTTCTCTTTTTCAGAACTCTATTTAGGAAGGGAAATAGCAGAAACTGATATTGTAGACCCTCTAGATTTCTACAGAGACTATGTGTCTAAGAATATACCAGTGGTAATAAGAGGGGCATGCGCGACTTGGGAAGCCAGCGCAAAATGGAATGCGTCCTACTTTAGGTACTTAAATTTTTTTTAAAATACTCACTAGCTTCATTTAGGATCTTTTAGTGTATTACTGTCATAGTTCAATTAACGGAATTCGAACGTGACTATGCACTACCTAGTAGACACATTAATTATTTATTTATTTTATATTGCATTCCATAATGTGATTAGTAGATAACATTTCAATTAAAGTGTATGTAGCTTTACATATTATATTTAGCCATTAACAAAGTAAAATTAGAACTGAAATATAGCCTTTTATTACATTGTGCTTTAATGGTTCAGGGAGAAAGTGAGTATTAATAATGAGGTGTAATATTGCTAGCTATACGCCTTATTAGGTCAATCTCCATGTGTTTCTTCCTAAAAACCATTATGGTTAATTCATGTTAAATTCATCATGGTTGGCCAACTGACCGACGTTTGTCCTCCCATCTCATTATACACTGATTCTCTGCCAGTGTATACCAATAGTGCAGGTTCATTTAATCAATATCATTCAATTTTAATCTATTAAAAAAAATCTAACACTATATTGCTATGCTATGGTTAGATTTCCTTACCATCCTTTCAGTTATATAATGCCTCTTTGATCTCATAATATGTTCATTCCAAGTTGAAATTAACTTTTATAGACAGACCATTCCAGACAAGAAAATAACAGTAGCTGTCACACCTAATGGTTTTGCTGATGGTATCACCAAGAATGACAAAGGTATAGAATACTTTGTCACACCATGTGAAGTAGAGATGACCATGACAGAATTCCTAGATAGTTTAGACACCAAACAGTAAGTATAATGTTTCCTATTCATTAAAACAGCTACAGATCAAAACAAAACTAAGAAAAGAGGCACTGTAATAATACTAAAGTTCTCAGGTGAAGCTGTGGCCTGGCCTGATTATAACACTATATAGCTTTCAGTGTTGTTTATCTTTTAGAACATCATCATCGTCTTTATTCCAAATATTTGGAGTTGGCATATATTTAATATATTTTATTCATATTCTACAAAGTCTGGACTTTTGGTTTTATGACTGGCTGCCTGCCAGTTGATGCCAACTGTCCTTGAGAATGTATTTGTTATCTCTAAGAACAATTTGATTACTTCAAATTGTTTCTTTTAGATATCATTAGCTGTGTGCTGTGTACAAGTTTTGCATGATTGAATTGAATTTATAGACAAATTTAGGAGGATAGAGGGGAGGGAGAAAGCTTTTTCATGGGGTGAAAATGATTGGTATATAGTACACTCTGAAGTAGTCACTGTATATAGTTGTTTTCAAAATATATAGAAAGATGGTTTTAAAGACTAATTCTCGCTAATGGCTTATCACATAAATCTATTATCATCTAATTAATATTTAACACAATCTTTTTGTTTTGCTGTTACAATAAGCAATGTTATATCTCAGTAAACTTCTTTAATATAAGAAGTAAGAAAGTAAGTATTTACTTCTTATATGTTTTTCTTACAGGGAGAACTACATAACATACATTCAGCGTCAAAATTCCAACTTGACAGAGGACTTTAAAGAGCTTATATGTGATGTTGATACAGAAATACATTTCGCTAGCGAGGCATTTAATAAAAGTCCAGATGCTGTCAACTTCTGGATGGGGGATGAACGAGCTGTTACTTCTAGTTAGTATACATATATACAAAAATGCATTAATGTTGTTGTCTCTTAAAAAAATATTTAATTTACAAATTGTTTTTATTAAATCAATACACTGTATTTACTATCTCTGTTTAGCGTAACGGCTGACTAGTAGAGAATGTTATCAGGTATTAAGTTTGATCTGTAGGAATGTTTTAATGTGTCTTTTATCAATCATAGCCAAATGAAACATTTAAGAGTATTCATACAGAAGTGTTATACCATTTGTATTGTTATTTTTAATATTTCTGAATGATTATTTAAAAATACTCAGAAAGAAAAAAAAATTATTATATATGGAGATATTTGATAAAAATTCTGTCATCTCTTACGATACCCATGGGAAAGGAAAAGGTGGCCTATTCTATACCAGGACCACACGGCAACAATAGTACATTTTTAATGTAATACTAAAATTAATATTTCTGATTTTTATAGTGCACAAAGATCCATATGAGAACATCTACTGTGTGATTGATGGCTACAAAGATTTTATACTCATACCACCAACGGACTTACCTTACGTTCCGTACAGACGGTACCCGCAGGCGGAGTTTAGACAGAATGGTAACAAGTGGGATATAGTTCCTATAAATAATTCATCTAATCTCAAATGTGCACATACGTGTCAGACAGAGCGAGACGAGTGTGATGGCTGTGCAGGTTTGCCTTGGATTTGTATAGGTGAGAGTTATTTTTTTAAGGAATACTAGCAGCATACTTATTCAACACATTCAAAAACAATACAATAGTTAAGGTTTTTTACTGCATGATAATGGAATGGTAACCCTGCGTCGTTTTCTGCGTTATTGGTATTCATTGGCGGGCACCAGTAAGGGATGATAGGTGAGGATGAAGCAGGTTGATCAGCCTATCTTGACAAATTTAACAATAAATCAATGACGATGGAGTCCAAGGGGAACCGCGAGGAGGTTGACCTGATAGGGTTTATTCAATTCAATTCAAAATATCTTTATTTATGTATGTCTATTCCAGACTCTTATGATTATGTCAAATCTACCGTCAGTTCGGAATGATTTCGAGATGAGAACTGACTCGAAACTTAGCTTGTATTCTTTTCAAATAAATTTTATATTTGTTTACAATAATATAGAATCATTTTTAAATTCAAATTTGGGAGAATAGAGTGACCACCAGCATATTGCTAGTAATAGAGTTGCTAATCCCCATTATTAACAATATTTATAATATAGTTGAGATTATAGCAGTTTTTTCTGGAATACTTCTTGACACAACTAAAATGAATTTTATCTATTTTTCTATGAACTTGAAATAGTTGAATAAGAGTCTCCATAAAAAGTAGATGCTGATATTAATACAGACCAAGTATGTGTCTAGGCTAAGTACAGGTTTTTTATTTCTCTAGCTCTAACATTGGTGTACTACGCTTTATTCCCTTAGTTTTTCTTTATAATGTTTTAAGAAAAAAATACAGGCACATTAGAATCCCTGCATACAAAATAAAAAAGTTTATAAATCAATTTTATTTTTCAGACCCATTAGCGCCAGACTACACAAATTTCCCAGAGTTCAAGCAGGCGAATCAATTTAGAGTACGTCTCAATAAGGGCGATTGTCTATACTTACCTAGTCTATGGTTTCACCATGTGAGACAAAGCCATGGGTGCATAGCGGTCAATTACTGGTATGATATGGAATTTGATATAAAATATTGTTATTTTAAAATGTTAGAAAAACTATGTCGAAAATATTAAATATGGAATTTTTTATTTTTGTTTTTATGATTCCCTTATTTTTGTATTATCGTAAATATTGTAATATAATTTATTAATATAATACTTAACCTTGTACTTGAGTTTCTATGTATGCCAAGTAACTTCACATTCTGAAAATAAAAGTAACGTTAGATAAAATTAATGAGATGTGATTAATGTATTAAACATATTTTTTTAATTTAAAAGGTGGATTTATCCCTTTCTTATAAAGATGGTCCATGAAAAGGTAATCGAGCCGGTGGTTTTAATTCCCTGTAGATGGCGTCTACGTAACTCTGCCTAAAAGTATATGCTGGCGAGGCATCAATGAAGGATGATAGGCGAAGATGAAAAGGCAGATTAGTTAGCCGTGTGAATACATGGAATGGATGGAATCAGCACGATGGATTCTACAGTTTGCATTACTAACAAACCCCCCCCATCCTCCAATTGTTTGTATTGGTTTAGATTTTTTCTATACATAATATGTGTGTATAAATAAATATTTTGATCAGTTATCTAGTACTTATAGTACAAGCTGTGCTTAGTTTGGAACTAGATGGCGTTGATTTATTTATTATTTTAAAATATATCATTATATCCGGGTAGATGTTAGACCGCGGCGTGATGTAACTATTCTTGTATATACCACGTGGTGAGCAAATCCCGACCGCGTTGCGAGTCACACATGGACCTCCAGAAGGCCACGCGCGTCACCGCCATATAGCATTGACTTCCCTTGCATATACGCATCGTCACGTTTACTAAAAAAGTTTAGGATGATTCATTATTATGCAAAGCAACCAGTACGACACAAGGTTCCGGGTTCAATTCCGGTCGGGTTAATTTATGACAAGAAGTGTTTTAAATTTGATAGCATCAGGACGTTCTCGGTTGTGCCTCCAGGTATTCATTGCCCGATTCCTCACAACACAAGGTATATACTAGATCGAGGATCAGGCAACAGGTGTAATCGTGAGGAACTTATTAATATTTTTTTACTATGGTGTTAACACAAGGGTAAAGCATCTGTAAAAAAAAATATGGCCTGTATAATCTGGATCTGGCCAATTTTCCGGCAGACGCGAGGTGTTAGCAAGCACCTCTTTGGCTGCGAACTCTGCGCCTACGCAATGTCCCTTGCTGTTACCAGCTGTCGTCTTATCCAACTCGCAACATACATCACACATGTGTAATATGCTTAATGTATCCCCCTGAATATAGAGTGTAAGGGTTTAGGAACAGTCTAAAGAGGGAGGGAGACTACTAAAGGGAGATATTTTTTATGAAAAGAAATATACGCTGGTGGTTTACTAGTGATAGATGACAAGTGAATATTAAGTCAGTCGGTCAAGGGGTGACCATTCAATTATAATTCATTAAAAAATCTTATTCCTTAGGAAAGCTCATGCGTGTTTAGTGACGTATACACCATCGCTGACGGTTTTCGCTTCCCCCAGATGGGCTGACGTCTGCTTGCTTGTCGTTTCAGATTCAGAAAAAAACTCTAAATGTACCTATTTATTTCATGCTAGCACTCTTCGAAAAATGATATATATGTTAGTATGAAGCTAATCATTATATCAGCTTATAACTGCCCACTGTTGAACATAAACCTCCCCCTTGGGAAGTTATGCCAGTAGTTGCTACGCTTGGAACGCGGATTGGCAACCGCAGTTAGGCTTTAGAGATCTTTAAAGAGGGACACTGCTGCCCATCCCTCGCTTTCCCTTAGTCGACTCATACGACACCCACGGAAAAGGAAGGGGTGGCCTATTCTATGCCGGAACCATACGGTAGCTAATATGGGACTGTAATTAAATTGGAAGACCAAAAAACCAGGTCACATATACAACGCATCAACAACAACAAAATCGTGGACATATCTTAAAAGAAAATAGAAGATCAAATAAAATTTCTAGTTACGTACAGCTTTTTTGGAGTTGGCGCTGCATTGGCACTCCTTGAGTCCAAGAGTAGCGCACTCCGCGGCGTGACAGCTCCCATCAGCCAGGCAACGCCCGCCCAATCCGCATCGACTATCCGACGTGCAGTTCACACAGGTGCAATCTAGTTCTTGGCTCTTGCAGTCCTATTCAAACAAGTATATTTTGCTCCTAAACGAAAGAAGCGACTTTAGACCTACACAAACTTGTTCAATTTGTTCCTCTAATAAAGTGACTTCTAGTTGCAGTTCTACTTATATTGTACATTTTTGCTTCCTATAAACTTGAAGTTGCAGTCCTACATACACAAGTTTATTTTGTTTTTGTTGAGGAATAACTATCGTGGGTCATACTATATTGTAATTGTTTATATGAATTGTTCTGCTTGCGATACATTCGTGAACCGCGGTCGCATTGATTTTGTATCTAGTCTAGAATTCTCGAATTTTATGTCATTACAGCCGATATAAAAGTTACTTCAATTGTAAACATTCACCAATGAGTGATGTGATGTTTCATGGGCACCTTACATTTTTGTTAGAACTCGAAATAACGTATTTGCATGTAGATTTTGTTTTGTTAAGGGTCATTTATTTCTCTGCAAAAAACTGCAGTTTCAATCGTTATAAACTTAATATGGGAGAAGCATGGGAGTAACCCCTGTTGATTCCGTAAAGAATTATCAGAGTTGGCTCAGATTGGCGACCTAATCACGTAACATGGTAAAAATAATTACTCGAATTAAGAACTTTTTCAGATTTATATCTGACTATACGAGTATGTCCAAAGTACTGAAGGAGTTACGTAGATATGTTATTTCTTTTAACTCGACCATAGATAATAGAATACTGTATTTGACTAGAAGATTTAGACACTAACAATTCCACTGTTAGTGTAGTCTGCGTACTGACAGTTGGCGTTGCAGCACATCCCCTGCGAAGGATGGCACATAGCAGTTGGAGCTACCGAGCAACCCTCTTTATGCCCAGGTCGACCTCGTCGCGGTTCCCTCTGGAAACTATCATGGTTAATTCCAGATGAATTCATCATGATGGGCTAACTGGCCTGTTTTCATTCTCATCTATCACCCTTCACTGGTGCTCCGCCAGCGTATCCCGTTAGCGCAGGCGGGGTTACCATACCATTTTCACCCATCAAAAAAAAAAAAAAACCCTCTTTATGCAATGTGCTGCATGAAAGAAAACGAAAAATAAGTTCATAAGATAAAAATTCAACTAAAAATATATGGGCGTGGACATATTCCATAACTTCTTAGATTTTCTAAGGAGATGTCCTTTTAATATACTTCTGTCCCATTCGTGTTTCTACCGTGAACCAGTTGTATTTGCATGGCTGTGTTTCGGTTTGAAAGGTACAGAGGTATAACACCTTAGCCCTCAGGAATGGCAACGCATGGGCGAAACTGTATATTCTGTTATGCTCATGGTACTGTTCATGTCTATAGGTGATGGTTATTACTTTTTATCAGATGTCGTCTGTCTGTTTGCCATTCTAGTTGAATTCTAGTTGATAATAAGTCTAGTGGGCCATAAAATTCGATTTGACTCGACACTTGTCATAAAGAAAGCCTTGCCTAAGGCTTATACAGGATATTTTGTAAAACTGTTAACAAATCTGTTTTGCCAACTATAGAATAGGTATTGGTGCAGATTACAAAAGTAACAGGAACATTATACCCTTCGACAAACACAAGGGCGCCACCAGCTCTTGGAGTACAACACGGATCGCGTTGGTTGCAGCGAGATGGTAGTCCGCAGTCACACACCTCACCTTCTTCCACTATACCTATGCAGTAAAATCCGATATCATAGTTTTGAACAAGATAAGAGTGCTGGAGGCATGCTACACTAATTTTTCTTGATCAAATTGACCGTAAGGTTCAGGGGACAAGTAAAGTCTCCGGAACCGGCGTATAAATATAAGGAGTTATAAAATTGGATGAAGCTTGAAATGTACTATGTATAAATTGAAGCTTCTGGCATGTGAGTGAGTCACTTTTTTTAAAGCTCTTGAGTATTTTTATATAACAAAAACAGTAAGATGTAAAAATAAACCTTATTTAAATTATCTTAAAACTATTTTAAACGCAATTAAAACCAATACTCTTCTTTATGTTGGTCTTTGTAAATGGAGATTTACTCTAATTGTCCTATAAAGAACCTGAAGTGAAGATTACGCTTCATAAATAAAAAAAAAAACAAATTATATTTTGATAAATTTTAAATAAAACGGAAAAAAATACATTCATGATTTATATGAAAATTAATTAATAATGTGATTCAAATTTGATCCTAATAAAATTTTGTCAAAAGTTAAGGTGCAACTCGAGTTCAAAATTTTATGAAAGAATACTGTATTAGTTTTACCATTCCCGCAGTAAGGTCCATCCTCTTCCGATAGACAGTAACTCATGCTAGTGAGAGTGGCAGCTATCAGCCGTTTGTTACATAACGAGAACTCGAAATTCATCCCGTTGTCTGCTGCAGTGGACTGCGAGCCCATGAGGTAGCCACGGCATTCAGGATTAAGAAAATTGTCGTCGTCGTGTGCACCGAAGCTGTGGCCTAAGAGAAGTACAGGATTTCTAAAAGTATTTGTTTATTTCCATCTAAATAAATTAATGCAAAAAATACTGCACTAAATTGAATGCTTCCCGTGTGGTCCCGGCATATAATAGGCTACCCATTCCTTTCCCATGGGTGTCGTAAGAGGCGACTAAGGGACGGCGAGTGATGGAAAGCAGCGTTCCTTTTAAAACATCTCCAAAGCCTAACTGCGGTTGGAAATCCGCCTGCCAAGCGTGGCAATTACTTCTAAAAATTCTAGCTGGAAATAATATATAACTGCATTTAGTGCAGCTTATACTGAAAATATTTTCTACTAGCTTTTATACGTGACTTCCTCCTAGAAGATTTTTTTGTTGAGCAAAATCCTAATTATATATTCAACTTCACCTGATCACCTGAGTATAATCACGCCGGAACCGTGGTGGTGCCATATTGTCGTTTTCAAACGCCCTAAAGAATTTATCCGGGTCGTCTCTGTCATATGGATCTGCGTGCAGGGTTCGATTACCTGAAGGTTTTAACTCATACCTTGAATTGTATTTGTATTGTATTGTAAATCT